GGGACAGCCTTAAGCTTCAGGCTATACAACTGCAGCCAGAGGGTGAGTGGCACTGATGATGGGATTCTACCCCTTCTGCACTACCATCAACCCCCATGCAACACCAGGACTCTATACCTAACATCCTAACCTGCCACAGGTAAATCAGGAGCACATGGCACCCAACATCCTGCTTCTATGAAATATTGTCAGTGTATGCTCAAGAGATCCCAGATAGAGGGCCATGCCCCCTGCTACAGAGGAGGTCAAAGCCCCCCATACCCATTTGACCATGGAGTACAGATACTTCCTGACCCCAAATATGGCACTCAGTCTGATCCTAAGTGGAGGGGCCAGATCCTCTAGCCAGGGAGTGGGGCTGGGTTTGGGGCAGGTGCGGCACAGCCAGGTGGGTGCAGGACTGAGGCATGAGCGGTTCTTCCAGGGGGCATGGCTCCTGCTGCTACGCACACCCCTGGAGGCATGAGGACGTGTGCCCCTGGATCTGTGCTGGGCAGGGTAGGCTGCCACTGCAGGCTGGGGCTAGGGCCGGCGTCATGCTGGGCTCTTCCCATGGATAACTCTGAGCAGGGCAGGGTGGGCGCGGTGGTACTGGGGTCTCTGTTCCCTCCGGACTGGCAATGCAGCTGAGGCTGGCCCCTCTCTGCCCCCACCCTCTCCCCAGCGGTGCAAGGCCAGAGCCAGTGCAGGGAGGTAGCCAGGGCCACTGCAGAGCTGGGAGGTGGCGAATTTGTTGGCGCAGGGGGCGCTGATGCCAGACAATGACCCCAGTCGCGGGGTAAGGGACGGCCACATGGGTGCAGCAGGCCCTGACCCCAATCCCGATCCTGGGCCCGGCTCAGCTCCATTCTCTCCTGATCCGTGCCTGGTACCAGACACCCCACCCCAGCCCTTTCGCCTCCCCCTGCCCCTTGCCCTGCAGACTTTCCCACCTGGGGATGCACATGTGCCCACATGCGCTCAACCCCCCTCAAAAAAATGTCTCCCTCTGCCTATGATTGTGAGACATGTAACAGGGGAAGGGGGCAACCAGCAAAACCCAGAAGCATGGGAAACACCCAATGTAGCACAAAAACAGCTATCCCTAGATCATCCCCAGCCAGTGGCTGTCCAACCTCTTCTTGAACACCTCCAGCGATGTAAAGTCCATAACTTCCATAGACAGTCTGTTCCACTGCCTCACTGTTCTTATAGTGAAAAAGTTTTTTTCTAGATATCCAATCTAAATTTACTTTGTTGCAACTTCAACCCATTGGTCCACATCCTCCCTTCTGCAGCAAGAGGGAAAAGGTACTTTCCTTCTTTATGGCAGTCTTTCAAGTATTAAGTCCCCTCCTAAGCACCTTTTCTGCAAGATAAACATGCTTAGCTCCTTCAGCCCTTCCTCATCTGACTTGCTTTCCAAGCCCTTGATCATCTTTGTTGCCTGCCTCTGGACCCTCTCCAGCTTCTCCATGCAGCTCAAAATGTGGAGCCCAAAACTGCGCACACTACTCCAGGTGAGATCTAACCAGTGCTCAGTAGAGGCACTATCACTTCCCATGTCTTGGACCTAATGCTTCTATTGATGCATCCCAAAACCACATTCGCCTTTTGTGCAGCTGCATCACACTGCAGCCCCATGGCTGGGGCCAGTCTCCACGGAGACCCCAGCCACAGCTGTGCTGTGACAATGCAAGGCTGGGGTTGCCATGGAGACCCAGCAGTGCTGGCAGTGCGTGCAGCAGAGCAGGGAGCTGCTCCAGAGCCTCTGGGAGCTTGGTCGGGGCCAGGGCAGAGCCATGATCTGCAGCCTGCATGCTCCAAGCAGGGTCACACAGGCAGCAGATCATGACTCTGCCCCGGCTCCTTGCAGTGGTGACAGCGTGTTCCCACACTGGGGCAGAGCTGCGATCACTGACTGCATGCCCCTGCCTGGTGCATGCAGGCTGCAGATCGCAGCTCTGCCCTGACCCTGGACTAAGCTGCCCATGCTGCAAGATCCCAGTGGCTTCAGAGCAGCCCCCTGCACAATTACAACCTCAGCCTTGCATTATTAGAGCACAGCTGTGGCTGGGGTCTCTATGCAGACCAGCCCCAGCCATGCAGGCGGGGCTGCTGGGAAATGGAGTTCACGGCCAGCTGGATCCAGCCCACCAGCCAGACTTTGCCCATCCCTGGACACTAATCACATGTTCACATATTATTTTTTCTACCAGATCCCTGCCTTATTACAAAGTGCTATCAGCTTTGCCATAACATATTTTCCTGATCATGGCTTATTCTCCACTAGCAAGTTGTAGCCCCTTAATTCATTAATCTGTATTGTACCAAGTCCATTCCAGGAAGACACATGCAAATACATTGCCAGATAATTTCTAGACATGTCCTGCAGACATCACCTTGCTGCACATCTGACTGGATTGCTCTTCCTCTCCTTTGACAGTGAAGTTGGGCTGGTCTCCAAGGCCTCGCTCGCCACCACACTCATCTGAAAGCAGGAAAGTGGCATCATAGAAAAATGTCTCTACAACCAAAGATTCACATCTTCTGTGTCCCTGCCTGGAAACTCCACCAGAGGCAAAAGCAGACACTGGCAACAAACTCCCCTTTCCCAGGTGCTCTGTAGGAAAGATGACCTGGAGTGCTCCAAAAGAGACAACCCCAGCCTTGCTTTCTGGCAAACCCAACCAAACACCAGTGGGTTTTACTGGCACACGAGGATACTATTTGAACCACCCTATACCAGTCCAACCCAAAAAGGGCACACAGGCCCCATATTAAAGATCATCTTTTCCTTCAACTTGGAGAAACTCCTAGCTCCAGTAACAGTTTTGCCACAAACTGTAGCAGGACCAGAAATGTGCTTGGGCTGTTTATGTGCATGCTTTTGCCCTTCGTGCCCCACTTGGCCCTGTACCCAATCTGAAGGCCCTTCCTTCCTGGACCATGCCCAAAGCAGTTCCTTAGCCCATTGGAGAAGCAGCTTTTAAATACATCTCAAAGGCTGGGCATGTACCTGCCACAGGAACCTCAGTTCCAAAGGCCAAAGAAGGAGATAGGAATGATTACAGAAGCAGCTCCCATTATCTGACTCAGCTTCCCAGTGATGACTTGTAGGGGCTCGTTGCTCCCAGCCTGGCTGGGCAGCCCCCCCTGCCCGTTTCTCGGTCCTCAACTGCCACCAACTGCTGCACCTCCTGCGGAAGCGTCTCCCTGGGTGTCGGTGACATCACTGTCAGGCTCCCCTGGCAGCCCCATGGCCCAGCCAGTGTTAGAAACTCTTATTTCAGGAAGGAGCCTTTCACAGGTAACATAAGCAAAGCAGAATAGGCACCCTTGAGGAAAAATGGTCCAGTGGATAGCACACAAGCTGGGAACAAAGACGGCCAAAGCTGACTCATTTGTTTATGCAGTAATTTCCTGTGTGAACTGGGGCAAGACACCCAAGGCTAGATCCACACAAAGGGCTATGAGGCTAAGACATGATTTTATTCATGCTGATGTAAACAGGAGTGACTCTGAAGTCAATGGTGTTATATCAGTGCTACTAAAGGGAGATTCAGGTGCAAATAACAGACTCCCACTTCAGTGCAGTGGGTTTTACCTGACTGTGCTGCTGTGCTCAGGGGGGAAGATGTATTGCTCTGGCTGCCTGAAGAAGCCCGGTGCAAAGCTGTGCTTCGACAGACGGTGAGCCGAACAATTCCTTGAGCCTGGCGTAGAAGATCTACCACCATACAGCGCGGCAGACCAGACACCAATGTCCTATTCACCTGGCAATCACAGAAACAAATGCCTTTAAATTCCTATGATGACAGGGGTTTTCATACCGTGCAGCATCCCTGAGCATGTTTTATGCACTGACCCTTAATCTCCTACATTTTGAATGTCCGTGTTCCCTACCGTTTTAGCAACTTCCTCAAACTTCTCTCCTATTTTGGGCATTATGTTGTCAGGATCGTGGAATAATTTTGTCTGCAAAAGTGTATGCTTGCATATGTGTAGCAGTAAGAAAGATGCTCTTGTGTAGAACCAAGAGGCCAGCACTCACACTCCAGGAACCAAAACATTTTCAGTTTTAAACTTTTCTCTCCCTTTCCAAAAGGAGAACAAGGGAGAGGATGAAGGGGATGAAATATGAAGAAAAAACTGGATTTGATTTCTTCAGCTTTTATTTGTCTCATATGTCACCCTTAAGAGAACAGAATAATTTCTAAAACAGGAGAACAAAACAACTTAAAAGGGAACTAGAAGGGAAGGGGAAGAGGAAGGGAATGGGGTGAGGGAGAAGCAGCAGCAACATGGACTCAGCTTCCAGCCGCCAGGACAATTCCCCACCAGCTGGAAGCTGTGCCTATGCCACAGCCAGAGAGAGACTTGGGAGTGAGGGAGAGAAGCAGCAATGGCAAGGGCACAGCTAGAAGTTGCCTGGCCTCAGCACAGCTCCTCTCTGGTTAGCCCCAGCATGGGCATATGCAAAGCCCTTGGGTCAAAACCAGAACCTTGAATTGCACCCAGAAAGCTATTGAAAGCCAGTGAAGATGCTGGAGGACTGTGGAGATCTGCTCCTGTCAGAAGGCAGGCTGCTATATTATGCACCAGCTGCAGCTTCCAGATGGTTTTCAAGGGCCCTGTGTATGGCACATTGCAATAGTTTGCCCTTGATGTTATAAAGGCATGTATGATGGTGCCAGATCCAAATCTAAAAGGGTCACAATTTTCTCCCTAAATGGAGCTGGTGAAAGGTGCTCCTAGCCACCACTACCACCTGAAGATCCAGGAGCAGCACAGGGTCCAGGATTTCCCCCGGGTTGCAAACCTGAGTGATAAGGGAAGGCTGAAACCCATCAATGATGCATGTTCCACCAAAGTCAAGTTGTCAACCTCCACCATCACCATTGTCTTGTCTGATTTCAGTTTCAGTTGGCTTACCTGCATCTAATCCCCAACTGCAGCCAAGTACTGGGAAAGGATTGAGATTGCAAGGCCAGGGTTAAATGAGGGGGAGAGCTAGAGCTGGGACACAGCATACTGATGGCACCTCACTCCAAATCTCTGCAATCTCACCTGGCTGCATTCTAATATAATAAAAGGCTTAGTCTGTCTGTCTGTGTATCTGTCTACAATGCTTTTGGCCAACTGCACATGCACCACCAAGAGGGCGGACAGGGATTGGCTGGGCAGCCCGGGCTGCACAGGCCCAAGTTTGCACCGCTGCTGGGGAAGTTTGGCAGTGGAGAACACACCCCAGCTGTCCCAGCAGCAGGGCTTCCCTCCTCCTCCCCCCCACCTCCCTATCTGAGGGCAAAGTGGGGGTCATGGTAGTAGCATCCCCCACACCGCCCAGCCCTGCACCCTCCAGAACAACCAGCAGGGAGGGGGAGGTGGCGGACAAGGAGGGAGGGAAGCGGGAAGGCAGGCAGATGTGGGTCAGATGCATGTGGAGTGGCGGGGGGCATAGGCCCCCAACATTCACTTTAGCCCCCCATATCCACCCCTCCCAGTGCTGGTACCTGCATGCAAAGGCGTGGCATGGGGCTCCTGGCCTGAGCTGGCCTGGCCCCGTGCACAGCCGCAGGGGGACAGGTTGGCAGCAGCTACCTGCCAGTCTGTGCCATAAGGGCTGGGAGGGAGTGAGACAGAGCCACAGGTGGCTGGGTGGGGAGGGCTGCCTCAGAGTGATGGAGAGTGTGGGAGGGGGAAGGGTCTGTGAGGGGAAGGTATGTGGCTGGGGGGGGGTGTAGGTGTATATGTGTGCGCACACATGTGTGCATGCATCTGTGTGCGTGCACGTTTGTATGTGCACATGAGTGCATATGTGTGCATGCATCTGCAGCTCTTCTATGTGTGTGTGCATGCATCTGTGAGTCTGTGTGCATCTGTGTGCATGCATCTGTAGGTGTCTATATCTGTGTGTGCGCATCTCTGTGTGCATGTGCACGCGCGCGCACGCATTCATGGCAGGTACAGTGTATTTGTCGCTGTGTCCATGTGCAGAGAATGAGTAGAGTGCACACCTGTCTGCGTGTGTGCTTGCGTGTGTCTGTGTGCATGTGTCTGTGTTCATGGCAGAGAAAGTGTGTTTGTGTCTGTGTGTCCATGTGCAGAGAGTGAGTAGAGTGTACAACCATCTGTATGTGTGCTTGCATGTGTCTGTGCATGCGGGTGCGTGCATGTGTGTGTTCATGGCAGGAGGGAGAGTTTGTTTGTTTCTGTGTGTCCATGTGAAGAGAGTGAGAGAGTAGAGTGCATGCCCATCTATGTGTCTGTGTGTGTCTGAGTGCGTGCATGTCTGTGTGTGTGCATATCTGTGTTCATGGCAGGGAGAGTATGTTTGTGTTTGTGTGTCCATGTGTAGAGAGTGAGTGAGTACAGTGTGCGCCCATCTGCATGTCTGTGTGTGCGTGCGTCTGCTTGTGTGCATGTGTCTGCATCTGTGTGTGTCTGTGTCTGTGTGTGTCTGTGCGGAGTGCAGCCCTGACCAGTGCCTCTCCCCAGCCTCCCACTGCCAGGCTCAGCTTCATGTGGGAGCTAGGAGCTTGGGAAGACTGGTGCTGCCACTGGCCCCAGGCAGCACCGTCACTCTCGTGTCATCCCGCATGCAGATCTGTAGGCCCGCACCCCCAGGAGGACTGTGGGAGAGAACCACTGGTCAGGGCTGTGCTCAGAGCCGCTCTGCCACTGGCTCTCCCGCTGCCGGGCTGAGCTCCATGGGGCTGGTGGAGCCACTCGGCGCACAGCCCTGGCTCTTCCCTGCCTCCCACCACTGGGCTGCTTCAAAACTCAAAACGTTTCTAGTGCCCTTATTTAGTTTCAAAGCTGTTTCAAAGTCTTTTGTTTTGTTTCGACTTCATTGTTTCAAGCTCAAAACGCATCAAAACAGCTTCGAAACAAACATGCATCGAAATTTCGTACAGCACTAATGGTCAGTGCCTGGTTAACACTGCATCGAACGTAACATTGACTAAGACTCAAGGATAAATAGAGACCAAAGTAAAGAAGGCAAATATTACCTTTAGCAAGATGTCACCAACTTGAAGCCTCCCATCAAGATCAGTGATACTGCCTGGGCTGATGGCCTTTATTAGGAGAGCACCACCATTTCTGCCCCCTATCAGGGCAAATCCTAGGTTCCCATTTGCTGTTTTCTCCAACTCAATATTGATTATACCGTTCTACAGTAAAGACAGGTCCAGTTCAAAATGGGATTAAGTTCAGTGACCATGTGAAATGGTGTAGTCATAACTGCAGGGGTAGTCATAACTGGGTATTTTCATGCACCTTTAACCCCAAAGGAGACCACCATGTTTCACAATCCTTACTAATTATATGAATTATAGGACAAAATCTTCTCTTGCACAGACCTGCAGGGCTTCTGGTGATTTAAATGGGAGTTATGCATATGTACCAAAGGGAAGATATTACATATATTTATACATAAAATTATTAAAAACAATAAAAGCTGCTTAAAAGTCTTTAAAAGCAAGGACTGCCTTGAACACATCAGATACACTACTTTCATTGAGAAATAAGTCCCATTCACCTTCCATTTATACAATTTCTCTTCTCCACTGCAAAAATAACACAAAAATCTTGGCCTTAACAACTCTAATATACATTTCTGTTTGTCATTTGTATGCTGTTGGGTTGTACAGTAAATTTCTTTCTTAGCCAGGAACCTAAAAGCAGAGTTAAAGTTTAATGAACAAGTGTAATGCCATAGAAATATTTATACTGTATTCCTGAAAAAAATATTAATAATATATTGATCTTATAACATCCTCGCTAATATTGAAACAATCAAATGCATTCCAAAAGGGCAAAATGTTGCTCTTCGGAAGAATTGTAATGATTGCAGTGATAAGATGCAGGAATACCCAGTTCTGGTGACTTCATCAGATGAAAGTCAGTCATTCCATCTTCCCCTTTGGTCTGCTGGTCTGATTTTAACGAGAACTCCCAGAAGCTCTTTTTAGTCGAGCACCAGCTGTACAAGACCAGCAACTACACTACAATAACATTTCATCCTCCAACCAGGCAATTTCCTTTCCGGGCCACTTTGCAGGCCTGGTATTTTTCCACAAATAAAAGAAATTGTAGTAAAATGCCAAGAGTTTCAAAATACTGTGTGTTTCTGTGTGATGATTTGGGGATGGGAGGAGGTATTAAGAAAACCTGACATTGTAGAAATCTATAATTTTGAAAATATCACCACTTTATTTTAATGTTAAAGCCATTTCATTTCAGACCAAAATGTGCGTAAAATGCCAGTTTCTTTCACAAAATGTCCCTTCTAACATAACCAAGTAAATAAATTGCAAGCTTCAAGAGATTCTTTTTGAGTTTCATTCTGAAAAGATGTCATATGCCTAGTTACATTTATTTCCTCAGTCTCCTGCTGTACTACATCTATTAACCATGATGTATTCCTTCTAAGTTAGGGCTTGACACTGTGAGCTGTTGGGGGGAGCTGGAGACAGTTACATCCCAAAGGGAGCTCCCAGGAGGACACTTACTATATCAGTCCTGCTTCTGTTACACAATTAATAACACAATGATATTATTCATAGGAAACCAGCAGCAGAGGAGCCCCATCCTCTGAGGAGCTCAGCAACCCTCAAGCCAAAGAAAACTGAGGCAGTTCAGCAGCCCATAAACACTACCCTAGTACCTCACATTTGCTAAAACAAAGATAAATGCATTCAGCATAACTGTGGAAAACCTCACTGCAGAAAATAAAATCTGAGTCAAGCTCCTTTTGGCAAACAGACTGCTTGCTACTTGATAAAACAGTGACTTACCTGGGCATTTGCTAATTCAAATGTACTTTGTTCAGCACTGCAACTATCTTCCTCTGAGTGTTTGGCTGAAAAAAGCAGGATACATTTTTTTTTTTTAAGTAATAAGTTTTAGAGTATAACGTCACAATATTAGTAGAAACAATACAAATTGTCCTAGATTTCACATGCAAAAAATCCCACCACAATCTTGACTGTGCTTGCAGTTTGTTTGTTCTGTTGCTCCTCTTCAACTATTAACTGGACCCTGTTTCTGGCATCTCCTAAATCCTTTTACCTCTCAGATAACAGTTTCCCAGGCAAGGTTTAAAGCTTCGTGCCCCATGATCAGAAATGTTAATTGGACAACAGGTAACATACAAGTGTTCTTTAATAGTCCAAGGGAGGTAGTTCTGCTTACTAATAATTAATCTTTTTCATTTACTGCCAGAAGCACCTGTAGATTTTTTTTTCTTTTAAAGAGATAGCACAAAACTTCGCATTTCTCCATCAGGCTCTGTAAAGTGATATCCTCTCTGTGGACTGGGTAGATGTTGTTCTAGGAGGCTCATGTTTTTATTTGAAAGAGTTACCTGTATTTCAGCAAGTGGCCCTAAAACAAAAACTGGTAGATTTAGTATAACTGATAGGCCTCCTACTAAATTTCATGTGCATGAGGGAATGTTACCTTGGGCCAAGATTAACAAACTAGGTAGCAGAGCTCCTGGATTGTAATCTCTAGTCTGAAGACTGACTGTCTGGGTTACTTTAGATGAGACTTAATATTCTTAAAATATCCTTCATTTTCCCTATTTGCACAATTCTTTCATAACTGACAGGGGCATTCTGCAGTTTAATCACTGCAATTAATGTTATTTAAAATGATGGCAAAGATCGGATGATACAGTTAAAATTACCTGGATATGACTGTAGTCATGTTGGATCAGTTTGCTAGGGGAATGAATAGTGTGTATTTATGCCTGTGCATGCAGGCAATGTATATATTTCCTGGTTTTGTGGCTTTGAGTTACCAATAATTTTCTCTTAGCAATCATAACTAGTTTTCCCAAAATGCTTTTTATGTCTGAATTATATAAAACAATAAATGTTTTATTAGGTTAGCACAAGGACTCCCTCTAGTAGTTCCAATGTTATTTTATTTTTTATGTAACATTAGTAGCATATATAAAATAGGATTTCACCCTCAACGTCATTAATGCTCTGAAAAGAAATGTATTATAGTTTTTTTAAATGTTTTTCTAACCATTTTGGATTATAAAAAGAACATGCAATGAAGGGGATGAAACTTGTTGCACTTTTATATTAATAATAAATCTGTGCAAAGGATCAACAATAAATGGTAATTTGTTTGTTCTGAAAATGTCCTGAGAATGATCATCAAAAACTAATTTATCACTAATATTCATGAAATTTTGGTCCAGAAGTGACTATTTCAACACCTTCATCAATTAGGCTTTATTCAATTGGCCAGCAAAAATAAAACTACCTAAGTTAGGTCTAGCCCACATTCAGGTCAAGTCTAAACTACAAAATGGTATGGCTTGGGTAGGAGTGTGGGAAAAAAATCCTCCCCTAACCTCCACAATTTGCACCTCCTACATCTTGCAGTAGTAAACCCCTCATAGGATAAAATAACACTTATTTTTTGCACCCATTTAATTATGTAAAACCTTTGGCTTGACATGTTAAAAGAGCAGGGAACTCCCTGATGATGAACGGAGAGAAAAAACATCCCAGAGGTCAATGAAAACTCCAGGTTGCAGACACACAATACAATTACTGTGGGGCCAAAAGGTTGAGAATTACCACCTTAGACCATTGCCTATGACAACTTATGCCTCTCTGAACCAGTTAGTCTCCAAGGTGTCACCCTGCCCTGATTTCATATTTAATTGACAGCCCTACTCTCAATTATAATGTTAGTCCAATAAAAGATATCAAATAATACATGATACCTGTATTTCCTCTGGACCATCACAGCTCAGCAACACTACATCATTAAGATAGCCCCAGAGATGGGAGCCTCACCTACCGGGTAGTATTGATTTAACTTGTCTAAGTTCACAGAGTCTTTCACCTCCCCTCCCACTAAAGTGTTTTAAAACCTTAAGCTAAGGGTGGGCAAAATACAGGCCATGGGCTGGATCCGGCCAACCAACTGACTGGATTCAGCCCACAGTTGCCCCCATGGTGTTCCACATGGCGCCTCCTTGCCTTCTACCCTGCTGGGAGCTGGAGCCAGAGCCCCATGCACTAGAGCAGGAGCTGCCTGGCTGAAGCTTTGTCCCTGCCCAGAATCATGCAGGAGGAACACGAGCAAAAGGAACAGCCACTGCTGGAGGCGTGGGTAGCTAAGCCGCATCAGGGCAGCGGCAGCAGCACTGGGAGCAGCCCTGTTGGTAAGCTGTATGTGCTGGCCAGAAATGTATGCCTCTGCCTGGGAACCTGCACTCATCACAGGGGTGTGCAGGCAGCAGATCTTGGCTCTCCCCCAAGCTTTCACTGCTCTGCAATCTTGTCCCACAATCCTGACCTCCCCCTCCCATCGTGCTCCGGAACACTGCTCCCTATCTGCCCACAGCCACATCCCACAAAGAGGAGCCTTATCCCACACTTGCCTTAGACTCATAGGTACCTATACACATGCTTAAGTCTGCTGCAGTGCTCCAATTAGAATGCTCCAAGATGCTGCAGCACCACATGTATTCAGTGTCCCACATTTCAAAATAGCAGTGGGGCCACTATAACTAAAACTCGTTGAATGAGCTTTAGACAAAGCACCCCATGGCCATTTTGAAATGTGGGACATTGAATACATGTGACAATGTGGTATTTTAATTACAGCAGCTGTCTGGGAGCTGATTTAATTGAAACATGTCCCCTTCACCTCAGAGCATGTATATATAGATACTCATTGTTTGCAAGTGGGGAAATATTACTCACTGACTGCCCACATGATATAATTTTGAAAACCTGTAATAGGTGCAGGTCATATTGTAATATGCATATAGTTCTCTATTTGTAGAAAATATTGAAAACAGCAATCTTGGTGAATTTTTTTGGAGACTGAAATATGTTCATCTAAAACTTTTATCCAATAATTATATAACAAACATTCATACAAAGTCAAATTCTGGTCTTAGAGCATTCAAACATAGGTTAAACTCCTTGAATGAGCTATTTTCCTTCCAGATAGTTCACATATTTTCACTCATTTTGTAAACTACTGCTTAATTTGGTCATACCAGGGACATGATTTCAATATAAATAATGCATAAGAAATTGCAAATTATTCATTACATTTTAAAAGTGCAATATATCAACACTTTATCCTGTTTCCAAATTCAGGCCTTGCTGTGTCCTATAAATAAAATATAATTATGATTACTTACTATTTTGCTGCTCTATGGGAACCACTGGATTGCCATTTCTGCAAAAAAAGGAAATGTTTGAACAATTAAGAACTCTATGATTTGAAATAAGGTATGAAAATGATATTTTTAAAAAAGGCTATAGCTTCACTTATTATTATATTTCTGTAATTTTGTTATTTTTAAAGTTATATTTTTATACTTAGGGCACTCAGCATCTAAAATCCCTCAGAAGCCTTAGGAAGAGCAATTGATGTTCAAAAGCTGGTCCAATACCTCTCCCTACTACACAGTTGATCTAGTAAAAGATATCACTAACATCCTTGCTTATTAATAAGTGTAAATCCTTATTCTGCACTTGTGCCACAGTAGACCACTACAACACTAGAACCTGTTATACCATTGATTCCAATATGGGACTTCAAGACAGTACATATTAAGTATTTTGCTGAAGCCTACCTAAGTTGCCTATCTGAAAATAGAAATAATGACTTCTCATTTCATTTACCATTTGTCTAGCTTGTCTGTTCAGATTGTAAACTCTTAGGCTAGGAACAGAAATTATATATAAACCAGTATAAGTGATTAGAAACTGATTCAGATCTGTAACACAACAGAAGTTCAGTACACATAAACCACTTTCAAAATGGCAAAACCTGGTTTAAGATAAACCTCGATGGATGTAGTATCAGACATAACTGATTTAGGTTAAATCAGCTTATTGAATTTTTGTCCCAGATACCCTCCAGATTCAAGTTAACTCACAATCCCCCAGTATCCCAGGATGCTTTGCACCTCCCCCGCAACTTGCCCCCCTTGTGGAGTGGGTGGACTAGCCTTAGCCCAAGCTATCTGCTCCAGCTGCACAGGGAGGTGTGCTCTAGAGTCCCAGCTGCGCCCCGCAGATTTCTGGCCTGAGTCACCACAGGCATGAGGCTGCATTTCCAGAATCAGAAGTGAATGTCTGTTCACTTTGCTTACTGGTTCAATCTACAGAGCTTAGACTAACCTGTGAAGAAAAGATTGAATTAATTCAGCCTTGGGCTTTTTGACTGTCTGTACTTAGCCCAAAGATCAGGAATTATCTCCTATTATGTGAGGCTCCAGCTCCTAATAGTTGCTACTATAACATAGTGAATAAATAACAAATTATCCGACCTTCATTAAAATCCTTTCAGTCATGCTGCAGTGCTCTGTTAGCTTTAGTTATGGAGTAAAACTATCTAACCAGCTTTAGTTATGAAGTGCAAACTTGGTTTATATTATTTGGCTTTCTACCTGAGATCATTAGGAGCTGTTTCTCTGTAGCAAGCCAGGGCCTGTTTATCAGATTGTGTGGCAAAACAATTCCAAACTACCATCAAGACCTAATGAGAGAAGCCGCTAAATGCAAACAATTGATCTACATTATGGATTGGCTTTCTGGTTGAGAAAAATAAAACCAAGTTTGGCTGTTTTAAGTTACATGAGTTCTTAGACAAAGGGTAATCCTTTCCTATAACTGGATGTCAGAAAGTACAGCACAGTTTGGAACAAATCCCCATGGCAGGGGAATGAAACAGAGGCATGAAAGGAAGATTGTAAAACTCTGATCTACCTCGCTATTGACAAACCCGCTGACAAAGAGATTGCCTGTTATCATCAGTGTCATCTGGCTGCAAAGAGCATTGCCCACACCATCTGCAGACTTTAGACTGGCCTCTGGGAAGGACTGTCTTCTTCAGTGAGGAAACCTTGTTCATGCATTTCACATATAGCTTGATATTGCAAATGCCTTGAAGCGAGTCAGAGATTTGTATTTCAATTAATGTAGTAGCAGCAGTGATATAACCAGAGATGGGGGAACCAGAGGATTATAAAGGCAGGTCTTAGTAAGCTAACAAAGAAGATGCCCTTTTTAGTTATATTTTAGATGGGCTTGAACCATCTAAATCCCAAATACAAATTACCCAGGATTCTGAGAATCGAAACTGCAGGGTTCACTATCACTGCCTCAAGGCTATAATAATTACTTCATATTACCAGTGTCCCGCTGAAAGTTGGCATGTTGGATTTTGCCACTCGCTTGTGTGGTTATTTAATGGTTAGCCTTAGATGTGCTCATGTATGCTTCAGAAGATGTAGTAGGCTGCCTGATTAATTCACATCTCTGATTAATTCACATCCATTATTCCTCTATTGGGCTGCAGCAGACTATGCCTCATGGTCATTAAACACGGTTAACATGTCCCTGAAATCCAGATATTAGGAACAGAAAGCTTGTCACTGACTCCCTGCTGTACTTTATGGCTGAAGTGCCTCCCTGGTCAAATTTATCTTTATAAAACAGTTTGCATACAAAATATTGCAAAATTATTGCAAAATTATTGCAAAATACTCCATAGAAATTCAGTCATAAATGGAGATTTAAAGGTGAGTATTAGAGACCTATTTCATTTTTCTAAAGGCTTTTTTAATAACACAGCATGCAAGTATAAGAAGAAATGACTGAACTCAACACAGTTTGCTAGACCAGCTGCCCCAGGGCTCTGTTTTAAGAAACCTTTGTACTCCTGGCATTTCAGGACTAATGGGGGCCCATTCAGCCCCTGGAACGACTTACAGCACTCTCAGAATTACTCTAAATTTTGCTGGATTGTTAAGAGGCCCTGGAGGCTGTCACACCAGCTCTGAGTAGATGATACACACTGCAATTCATTATGCCCTTTAGTGGGCAGGGCGGGATTGGGTAGCAGAGAATCAACTACAACGTCTTTAACCCATCTGAAGATTTCATTGAACCTTTTATCACCATTTTATGACACATCAGGCATGGCAGCAGTAATACAGGTATATTAGACACGTCATGAAATAAAATTAAAAATACAATTCAAAATTAGCTGAAAGAAAAATTCAGCACAATGAAAAAAATTACAATATTTTTCCCATGGAAAAATTTGTCAAAATTGGTACAGTTTGGAAAAAAATGGTTTTATGCAAATAACTTTTCCTGATGAAATTTTGTTTTGGGAAAAGTATTCTACCCATCTCTGTCTGTATAACAATCAAGCATACTTATGTTCACATATCATTGCTTACTGTATCAATGACTTACCTCTAATGTCATAGTCCCACCACCCAGCAGTGAGCAACTGAATAGTGAAGGAGGAGAAAGAGGGAAGCTGAAACATAAAAGGGGCAAAAGAGAGAAGCAGATAGGCAATGGGAGCTCCGCCTTCCTCTAACCTGCAAAAACATCTTTAAAATAAACACCAAAAGTCAGATTTACCTTATTGCTTTGATCTGGACATACTGGCTTGCAGCTTCAATTGCCCTTATAGCTTCGTCCAGGTTGATGCCCTCAGTCCGTAACCCACAGATGTAGAGAATCTGGTCGTGTGGTTGCAAACTGCCTTCTATACTGGCAGGAGAACCAGGTACTATCTCAAGAACATAGATACCATGTAATTTGCTTCTAGCTCCTCCTGTCAACTTCAAACCTGGAATAATTCAGATCAGTACATTTTGGTGTGGTGTACTCTGAATTTTCATTAGCAGTGTCATCTAGTCTAGGGGGGCATACTCCCAAAGGAAGAATGGGTAATTAAAAACTAGACTTGATAGGATTTGCCTGTATGGTCCCCCTGGGGCACCCTATGAACTGAGAGTTAGGCAAAGTAAAAGGCTTGGGAGCAGCCCCAAGCAGCTTGAAGCAGACCTGAGTCCCAACCCACACAGACAGTCACTTGAACAAGGCTATCTGTCTATCTCAAGTACTTATACAATCCTTGTCATCTGAGCATCCAGTCACTTCACCATTTTAGGAGTATTTATCCTCCCAACCATTGGTGAGGTAAAGCTGTGCTATTATCCCCATTTTACAGATGAGAAACTGAGGCACAGAAACTAGTGATATGCTCAGGGTCACAAAAAGAATCTGCAGTGAAACAGGAAACTTGACACAGATCTTCTAAGTCAGAGGCTAGTGCCCTGACCATTGGATGGATACTTTTTATCTCAGATTTTAAAAAAAAACAGTTTTTGGAGTCTTAATGTTGCTTCATGCATCTCCCCTGATAGTAGATAAACCACTACACTCCAAAGCCATTCTGAAGGGTAGCACTGAAGTTGTCCAGGTAATAGTAACCTCTTACTACTAACAAAAAGGGCTATTTTTTTCTGTATCACGCACCTAACTGTCCATTGTCACCTTTTGTGAGTATAATTTCAGGAATATCATCCACTGTGACAGAGGGATAGAGGTCATTGTTACCCCGTCCAACCACCAGGCTCAGATTGCAAGGACAGCTCTGTAGCAGTTTCAGGGCTTCATGGCATGGTAACACTGTGACATCAACTCCATTCACCTAATGACAAAAAGTTAAAATGATGCCCTGGATCTTATTAACTGATAATACATTTCTTCACTTACACAGCTCAGAAAATATGAATTTCAAAAAGTTCCCATTCTGGTACGATTGACTTATAATATTCATGGCAGTGAATGTTTCAGTTAAGGCTACAAAAAAGTTTCTATTTTGACATTTTATTTTCATGAATACACAACTTTCTGAAAAATTCTCTTTCTGAACTTAAATTTTCCATGCATTTTGTCCAAATTTGTCTCTTCATGATATATAAAGAGCTGAACATTTGTTTAAGATCATCATCCTTTATTCTTTTAAGATTAGACATGTCAGCTCTTTCTGATCTTATTTTTGCTGGAGTTCTTTTTGCCTGACTGGAAACTTAGAAGGGTAAAAAGATTACATGTGGAAACCGGAGCAACTGAGGAAGAAGAAAATTTTATTCTAAATATTTAAAATGTTTTCTATTTTTTTTCAAGTCAAACAGTTGCATGCAGTGAGTACTGATGTTAACAATTCAAACACTTTCAGCATCTTCCATTTCAGGACTAAAAAATTCCAGTCCTTCATTCTGCCAAAGATCGTTATAAATAGGCTTTATCTGAAAACAAGAGAAGAAGCATATAAAGGGAACAATTCCACCAGCCTTTGCTGCCCATTTTTACCATTACGATAATGCAGTTTCTTTCATTTACTTAATATAGAAAAGGAATTGGCATTTTTGTTAACTTTTATTTCTGCTGGTCATGGTAGGTGCCTCATCCTACAAGCCCTTCTGCCTGTGACTAGTCTTACTAATGTTAGAGGAGAGATTTCATCAGGCTAGTAGCTCAGCATTGCCAAACCAAGACAATTTTTTTTACTGACAGTCTGAAAACTTTTTACTGAGATATGTTTTACATCGTATAAATATACCCTTCTGCCAAGGTCTAGACAAGGGCTTGTGTGACAGGGGAGGCAAGAGCCCCGCCCCCCCCCCCCCAACATGGCCCCAGATCCCTCCTGATGAGCCCTGATACTTACCACAGGGGAGGAGACAAGCGGCAGCTGCAGGGAAATGCCGATGCAGGTTTGGCAGTTTCGGAGCTGCCTGCGCCTGCGAATTGGCAAGCCCCGGGGGCAAGGCCTCAGACAAGCACAGACTGCTCAAACAGCAGCTGGAAGAGGAATCAGCTGGGCACAGGGAGAAGCGCTGCACGCCAGCCGGGAGACACAGGTGGCGGAGCCAGGCGGCAGTGGCCCCAAATGTGGAGAAGGCGGCCCGAGCATCAGCCGGGGAAGCCTGGCTGATGGAGCAAGGAATTCAGGCTCTGGGAGCCAAGGATCGCTGGAGAATTGCAGCGGGGAGAAGCGGTTCTCCATTACCAGTCTGAGCGGAGCCTCGACAGCGGCAGAGATCTCAGGCACTGCGGCGGGGAGGGGCAACGAGCGATGGCTAAGCCCCATGGGCTTAGCCCAACGAAGAGGGCGGAGCAGGTGGCAGCTGCATCAGAGCCCTACGGGGAAGTGGCAAGTACCAGCAGGTGGTGGTACCAGGATTGATTAGCTCCTAGTCAGAGGGATCCTGGGAGTCAGAATCCTAGGTGCCCATCAGCAGATGTCAAACATATTTTTTTAGTTGAGAATTATTCTAAGTTACCATTATCCCAGGCTGGGGCAGGTTTAGTTTGCCCAAAAGGTGATCCGGAGACCAAGGATTGACTCGGGAAAGATTGATGGCCAGAAGGACTTGACCCAGGTCCAGGCAGGTAATGTAGATGAGAAGAGATCATTCCAAGGAAGACTGCGGGGAGCAGCATCTTCCCAGGCTGTGGATGTGGTAAGGGTGGGGTAAAGGGGAGGTTTGGAGCCCCACGAAGAAAGACCAGGGTCAAGACCCCTTTTGGGACCACCGACAGGGACTGCATCCCCATCAATCAACATCAAAGACGTGGCAGGTGAGTAGGGGCAGTGCCCGAAATCATCTAGGTGGCCCCTGGGTGCAGTCTCACCCTGATGTCGCTAGGGAACAAGGCACCAACCAGAAAAGGACCAAGCCATACAACACCTACCAGCGACAGCTTGGTTCAAAAGTAGGGGTTTAATATTAACCATAGCAAAAAAGTGTATCAGTAAAAAGTTTTCATATTATCACTAAAAAACATTGGGTTGGTAACCCTGCTTGATCGCAGCAATGGACGCCATATTGCCTCCACACCCAGAGCCCACAACTGCACCCCATGCCATGCTGTCCCCCAGCCCACCCCACCACCCAACTTTACCCGCACTGGCCTCACTCCCTGGTGCAGCACAATCCCTGAAAAAAGAACTATTTTCTGCCTACTTGCAACCTAGCAGGCTTGCAGACAGGCAGTGGGATGCAGCAGCAGCACATGGCTGGGGGAGGGGCAAGGTTACAGAAGCTGCTGCGAGCTACAAGGCCCTGAGAAAATGCTTCCTGCATGATGCTGTGCTTCTGCTCAGACACCAGGTAGTGCTCCTCTGCTCTGTCTGTTCATCAACACTTGCCTCCAGCTTCTTTCCCATGGGGGATCGTCAATCAAATTCCCAGTTGCTTAGAGTTTTCTGGACTGATACTTTTTCATGAATTTTACAGACAGGCATTTTTAGCTTCTCATTACAGGCTGTCAGTAAAAATTTGCAGGCAGCTGGCAATCCTGTAGTAGCTCCTCACATGAGTAAGTGTAGGGCAAACTGGGCTCCTCTAAGAATAAGGAGGCCAAAGCAAAATGGCATTGATCGCCTAGCATTTTCAACCCCTTTTTTAAGCCAAGGGATTTCTGTACCATAATGATTCTGTCTCCTCTTCTCAGCCTTCCATCAGACAAGGCAGGATCATTCCGGATCTCATCAACATACAGGCAGTTGTCCAGTTTATTAAGAACCACTGTGAATCCAAAACCATTGTTCTCAGACCTTGTCAAAGTCACAGAGATCTCAGTTTCCTATCAAATGAAACATAAAATGTAATCAAGGCCTGACTTTCTACGGCACTAACTTCCTTCTTCACAGTTTATATATAAACTAGGGGTCCAGTCTTCAGCTACACTATACCAATTGTAGTTGGGGGATCTGCCCTTTGGGCTAAGTACAGGCAGCCAAAAAGCCCAAGGCTGAATTGATTCAGTCTTTGCAGGTTAGTCTAAGCTGCAGAGACTAAATTGAGAAAAAACTGGACACCAGGGCTGTGCAAAATTTCAGCAGCTATTTCATTTCAGAGGTGTTTGGGGCCATTTCAGTGTCTGAAATACCAAATCCGAATCAAAATGGAAGGCTCTGAAACATCTCTGAAATGAATTGGAACATTTCAGAAATGTTTCAGAGAATTTCAAAGTTTTGGAGCTGGGCTTGCAGAAAAACAAAAACTAAGAAGAGGTAGGGGAGGAGGACTGCTCTGATATTGACATCTAGCTCCTGGTTCAATTCCCCAGCTCTCTGATCACTTCCGCCAGCTCTCTGATCATTTCCCCAGCTCTTTCCGGTGGGCACGGGCCCCCGATCTGCACACGGGGTTTCAGCTGGGGAATCAAACTAGGGGCTGGGGAGTTGAACAGGGGGCTGGGCAATCCAGCTGGGGGCTGGGCAATTGAACCAGGGGCTGGGGAATCCCTGCCGCAAGACCTGGCTCTGCAGGAAGCAGAGAACCATGCCAGGGTCATCTCACCACCGCTGTCTGCCCTGCGCAGCCCCAGGTTGAAACACCAAAAAGAATCACTGTTCTCCAAAATGGCTGAATCTGAAACCAAATCAAAACACAGCTGTTTCGTACAGTCCTACTGGACTCGCATTTACTTTTGATTCAGGAAATGCAGACATGCCTGCAGTGGCTTAGGCCAGAAGACGGGGGGGTGCTAAAGCATAGCTCTCTGGCACAGCCAGCGTGGGCTGTGCGTTCACTTCTTCCTACTGCCCCGAGGTCTCTGGGATTTGCAGTCCAGACTCACAGCAACAGGTCTCTGCAGGGTTGCTAATCATTTACTAGGCAAAGGCAGGGGCTGCTTCCAGGTGCCTCTGGGACTTGTAGTCCACAGTCACAGCCAGCAGTAAGTTTAAGTAGGGGAAGGGGTGTTTAACCCCCCTCCCTGGCCCCAGACCCCAGCCGGGGTTTGCCTGGGGGAGAGCAGTCAGAGGAGGTAGGAAGAAAGACAACTCCTTGGGCACAGACTGGGGTCTGCCTCCCAAAAATGCATTAGGTTTCCCAGAGTGGTAAGAGAATAGATGGGGAAATGAGACTAAAATAATGTGGTGTGGGTTGATTAGAGCAACACTAACACGTTCCTCTTTAAAAACAGCATTATCCAACTCCCTTTCCTCCCCGTTTCAGTGGCAGACCAATTACGTACCATGGTCAGTCACTTACCCAAGTATAGTCTTCCTCCTCCTCTTCTCCCTCCAATTCATCTACATCCTCCCATTCATTGTCACTGTTGCTTGGTTTTCTAGTAGGCGAGGAGACTGAGAGTCTGCTAGGTGCCCAGGGTTGCGGGGCGGCTATAGCTGGAGAAGCTGTTTCAGAACTTCCACCACATGAGAGCGAGGTCGGAGATGTTGAGCTGATGGCGAGATATTCCTCGTCAACAGGGGCAAGAGAGAGAATTTCAGGTATGCAATACATGCTCAATAGGTCACCATCACTCCTGTCAAACACAGGGCTGGAAAATAAAAACCCATATGACTGCAGGACAGGGCTTGTCTTCTAGATGCTTCATTGCTGGGGCATTGGGACCTCTACTGCATACAAAGTAGCTCACATTTAACAAAGGTGAAATTTATTGTACTAAACTCTGGCAATAGTACCATTCTTATTTTTTAAAAATCACCAATTTGTGGAGCTAGGTGAAAATATATATATATATTTCTAAGACTTCTAATGGAAAACTATTTTATTCCAAAATTTTTGCACTGAATTTTTCTTGTTTTTAACCAGTAGATTTCTGTTAACTGGGAAGAAGCATTCGAATCAGCCTGTTTTGATTACTCTGTCAGTATTATAAATTTCTTCATATGCCATGAACAATGAATAACAATTAGTTTAACACCAGGGTGCAAATTTTCACTAAAATGGCTCTTTGGTTTTCATATCCACCGTCTCCTTATTTCAAACAGAATGCCTCACACATCCCTCATCTCTGTGATTCTTTCCATGGCAACCACAGTTCAGATCACAAACATCTACATGAAAGAGACAATAATTGCTCCATCGTTAAGTCATAACTAGTTTTCCATTGTAAGTCTGATCTTGACCTTCCCTCTATATTCCATTTAGTTAAATAAAATATTTTGTACTTGAAAGTGGACATGTGCAATCTTGCCAGCTTGGGCTGGCGGGGAGTGAGAGTTGCAAGCCACGACAAGTACTCCCGAGACTGAGAGAGTCAGAAAATGGGAAGATGACTTGACAGTAGCATGATGATCCAGAGGGGGAGTGTTTGAGTTCAAGGAGGTTGCTTGGATTTATGTTCTAGTTTATACTGGAGTTTCAGCTGTGGCTTTAAGGGGTGGAACGGAGGCCACAGGGGTGCCTGAGGGGCATGTGAGGTTTTGAGCCCTGTCAGGGGCAAGGGCACAAGACCAAAACAGACCAAGGCTGAGAGGGGTAGAGCCTGAGCCCAGAAAGGGCAATGCAGGTCAACTAGAGGCTGAGACTGGGAAGACAGTGCCCAAGACAGTGGACCTAAGCCACCTGTCAACAGTCAGAGTAACCTATAGGCTAAGGCGGCTGAACTCTATACAGGAAGGCAAACAGTGACGAAATGACATCTGCTAGACATAGACATGGCTGTAGGGGCAGAAGGAGGCCATAAATAGCCCTTAAGGTGATTAGTACCCTTAGGGCAGGGCGAGGGACCAGAGCTGCAGCTCGTGGAGGGGACTACTGCTGCTGCTTGTACCCCGGGACAGCATGGAAGGGGGCATGGGCCCTCTGGATCTGCGCAGGGTCATACGGGGATACGGAGGGGTGGGCTGCAGCTGGGGCTGCATGGGGCTCTTCTCGGCAAGGGCTGGGCTCAGAGCAGGCACTGGCGGCACTGGGAGGATGCTGTGTCCACCCCTAATTTCATCACCACTCCACTCCAAGTGCTGCCACCTCCACCAGCTGCCCGGCACAACCCTGGCTCTTCCTAGCACATGGGTGAAGGCAGGGTGTTAAGCCAGGGCTGCGCTGGGCGGCTGGCAGTGGCAGCACTGGAAGCTGAGCTGCGGTGAAATCTGGAGTGGATGCAGCACCCTCCCAGCACCCACTCCAATCCTAGCCCCTGCTGAGAAGAGCCCCGCGCAGTCTCCCCGCGCCGCCGCCCGCCCCACCTCACCCATATCCAGGGGTCAAACACTCCCCCCATACCCTCCTGGGGTGCAAGCAGCAGTGGGAACCGCTTTCCCCGCCCACCATGAGCCATGGCTCTAGCCCCCTCCCCTGCTCCACCCACGCAGTGCCTGCCCCTGCCCCCTCCCTCACGACAGGGGTGGGGGGTTGATCTGCCCCCCAAGTCCTTTCCTGCCCCCTACCCTTCCACCACACCGAACTTACCAGCTGGAGGCAGCTCTCCACACTGCCAGCTGTGCTCCTCGCTGCCTGAGTGCTGTGCTGCAGTTGCATGCAGCACGGGCATTTATCAGCCAAATTATTGGCCCCATCTGGCCGATATCTGATACAGCCAGTTTCAGATCTATCGGTGCACTTCTAACTATTATTAATAATATATATATATTTGTTTAATCAAAGCCAACCTTTTTTCCTATGTCAGAAGATACAAGTTCCAATTAAAACGTTTTTTCCCCACTGTAGCAGGACCAGGCCGCAGGGGCAACTGTGATGCTCCTGGGTAGACATACAGCTCCTGACCCACAATATATGTGTGTGTGTGTGTGTGTGTGTGTGTGTGTGTGTGTGTGTGTGTGTGTGTGTGTGTGTGTGTGTGTGTAAATAACATACACACACAGAGCTTGCCTACACATGCATTTACTCTGGGATGGTTTTACTCTAGAGTAAATTGCTCTAGTAAACCCACTCCAGTAGGGCATCTACATATGCATGGATGCAGAAGTAGATCTGCTACTCCCACCCGCTCTGGCCCTGCAGCAGCCAGGGGGAGCTATAGGCTCCCCTGGGTGCTAGCCCAGGGAGGGGTAGGGAGCATGGGGCCAGAAGATAGCTGTATCCTGGCAGGGGCTGGAAAGAGCTCCCCTACCCTGGCAGCAGGGAGCTTCTGGCCCTGGCTCCCCAATCAGTGGCAGGGGACTTGGAAAGAGCTGCAGGGGAAAGGCAGGTCCCAGCCCCCTGCCCCGATCCACTGATGGAGCTCCTAGCAGCAAGCCTGTAGCTGGGCAGGGATTCACTGCCTAGCTGCCAGCTCAGAACTAGCTGCCCCACCGGTGGATCAGGGCAGGGGGCTGGGACCTGCCCCTCCCCTGCAGCTCTTTCCAGTTCACCTGCCTTGATCACCTGATTAGGGAACGGGGCTGGAACCTGCCCCTGGCTGGGAGCCTCTCCCCTGCCCAGCTCCATGATTACTGCCAGGGCACAAGAACATTGTCCCTGCTTGGGCTCCAGTGTTGGCAGGCAGCTCCCTGGGGCAGGGAGCAATCTCCCCAGTAGGTAGCCCCCTACTGCCCAAGTTTGCTCCTGGTCAGGGGTCTACATGCGTGCTACTGCGCAGTTAATAATCTTGAGTAAATTTGCTACCTGCATTCGCATTGGAGCCAATTTTACTGTGCGGTAAGAATCTGCATGTGTAGATGTGGATGCTTACTGAGTGGTATTTAGCTCTACTGCACAGTAAAGCATCTCATGTGGATGTGCCCACACACACTTGTAACACCCCTTCCACCCTCCCCACATACACACACCTTTTGACCTACTCTTAGATTCAGCTATGGAAAAGCAAATCTGTGAGCAGTAGCTCCTGTAGGAAATGGGAGGAGCTAAAGGTGTGCAGGGGGTAGACTCACTCCAATGTAAATGTGTTTGAGCCTTTGTTTCTGTACTGTATCTCACAGGGTACTGGAACCCCATATTTTTGTTGTGGCATTGGTGAATCTGGACAGCCATGCAAGGATCTCGGCTGAATGTATGTGAAAATGGGCTCAAGCAGTTGTTAAATAAATACTACATAAACTGAATGGGAAGACAACCCCCTGGAAGATTTCTCATACTCATGCAACTGTGAGTTTCACCTCCCCTCTTTTGTATTAAAGTGAGGATTTCATTGTTTCTTTTCTTCCCATTTCAAGAGAAAGAGGAGGAGGGTGAGAGAATTTCACATTGCAGTATGATGATACATGAATGTATCTTTTATTCTTTGATGGGTGTGTTTGATTTAACAGCTGTGGGGGGGGGGTTCAAGGGGATGTAAAACAGTTTAGTATTTAAAAAACAGATTCTTATGAACACTTTATTTTTTTACAAGTGAGTTTCATTTTGTACTTAATGCAGAGAATTAAAAAACATTGCATAAGGACAATGAAACTTAATGTCCTGTCTACTATATATTTTAAACATATGGCTATAGAAGGGAATCATAAAATAGGTACCTACTTAATGCCTATTTAAAGCAGCCTTTCCTCTAACTTCAGTGGAAACAGCATAAGGTGGTGTCTTATTTTTGTAATGCATCAACATTCATACAAGTGTCTTACAGTGCAGACTACTGCATGGTTCAAGAATGAAGGCAAGGGCAAGTGGAGACAGCAGTGCAATAGAAAAGGCTAGGGTTAGGTGCTGGCTAATTAACAGGGCACAGGGCATGTCCCCTCCAGAACTTCGTGCTTAACGCACAGCGCTTGGTTTCCATGCAAAATTCTGAGGGCTAACAGAAGTAGCACAAGGTACGCCTCATCACTTCTTACCTTTCAGCCCTTCCAAATTCACATGGTGAGTAGCAATTCTGCCTCACCTCTTCCTCCAGAGAGCGAAAAGCCTCAGTAGGGATATTTTCCTGGTAGGATTTCCAGAGATGCTGGTAGGAACATGTGCCCTGGGCTGCTGATTTGTCCAGAGGCTTCTCATGTGGGGCTCCTATCTTCTGCTTCTCATGTGGTGGGCTTTCTTCTTCAGGGAGTTTACTGCAAGAAGCCACAGCTGGAAAATCCTGGCTGTCTTGACATTCTGGCAAGGTACAATCAGCCTCTCTAGCAGATTGACTCAAACTGTTAGTAGCATCTGGACTGGCCAATGTCACTGCCACAAGCCCCTTAACTGGAGAAGGTGCTGGAGTCTAGCAAAATGACAGAGTGAGTATATTTAGTTTCTTGTTTCTTTCTCATCACTCTTTTCCCCATCTTTCTCTCTTACAAGAAAAGAGGAAAAACAACAGTGCAAATATCAACAGACTCTCAATGCAGCACAGAGCTAGTGACTTAGTGGGAGTACAGCTCTGAAAGAACCCCAAGATTAATACCTGGGAGGGACTCTGAAGGGGCCCAGATCACAAAGCAAAAACTGTCGTCTTGCAGGCCAGGAACCCCATGACCTAAGGACTGGTTGGGGTTGCCTATACTTCATATACAGACAGTCCTCAACTTACGACGTTTCACATTATAAACATCTTAAGTGCCATTCATTGTAAATTGACACCCTGTTTCGACCTTCAGATGTGGGTTTTGACTCTATGATGCTGGATACAGCTGTGTCTAGCTGGTAATTCTGGTGTTGTGGAAGGGGTGGAGGAAGGGAAGGGGTGTGTGGGGACCAGATCAAGGCCCCCCATGGTGAGAGAGGGTCTGGGACTGTGGCTGGGGCTGATGCCACTCATCCAGGAGGGCATTGGGTGGGGGAAGCATGTGCCCCCCAGATCTGCGCAGGGTGGGGGTTGCACCAGGCTGTGCTGGGAGTGGGAGCTATGCACTCCTGCTGCTCGCCCAGCCAGGGCAGGGCAGGCACTGGGCAGAGCCGGCGTGCTGCCTCTGGATGAGTGGCATGCAGCTGCAGAAGCTGCACCCTCCACCCCACCCCCCAAGGATGAGCTGTGGCTCTGTCCCACACCTGCCCTGCCCCAGCTGGGAGGGTGGCGGCAGGGCATGGTGGGGGGAGGTGTGGCCCCGAATCAGGGCGGGCAGTGGAACAGAGGCTGTGGGGAGCGGCAGTCATCCAAAAATTTGCCATAGCCCCCCTATAGGCCCCACCTCCTACCTGGATTTCAGCCCGGCGCAGCCCCAGCCCTGCCCACTCTGCCCTGATCTGGGGTCACATGCCCCCCCTCCATGCCCTGCCATTGCTCATTCAGCCAGAGCAGGGCCGGCGCAGGATGGAGCCATGACTCGTCCAGGAGGAGAGCGGCTCCCACTGCTGTATGCCACTCATCCAGAGGCTGCACAGTGGTTCTGTCCTGCGCCTGACCCACTCTGGCTGGGTGAGTGGTGGAAGGGCATAGCCCCTCCTCCCAGCACAGCTCAGTGCAGCCCCAGCCCTGCCTGCCCTGCATAGATCATGGGGCACATGCCCCCCCCATTCTGCCCTCCCATACAAACAGCACCAGCCCCTCCCTCACTGCAGGGGGCCTTGATCTGCCCCCGCCACCCTTTTCACCACACCAGACTTACCAGCTGGACACAGCTGTATCCAGCATCGTAAAGGAACCAATCCCCCAGTTATAACATTGTTCCTATCGAGAAATTGTTTCTGAATTACAATGTTTTGATTTAACACACAGTTTTCAGGAACCAGTTGTATCGTAAGTCTGAGGACTGCCTGTAACACCAAAGTCATGGTAGGCAAGTTGTTCCAATTTTAGGATAGTTGGGAGTACAGACAGACAAGTGAGTAGTGGAAAACTCTAGGAGGCAGCCAATTCAAGGGGTTTTACTAAGCTGGCACAGGATGCAGCAAAAACAGTCCAATAAGCTGCTTATGATCTGTGTATTTCTTTAAGTATACAGTTGGGGAGACTATTTGTCTGTCAGGACTATTCTGCCAGTGAGTTCTATTCCCCACAGGCACCGTCTCAGTGGAGATTGGCATAAGGGTAGACCACAGTGGTCAGCCTTCAAGCAAGTCTAATCCAGCCACATGTGCAACAGGGGAGCTGTAGCATGGTCCCTTAATCCCTGCTATTTAGATGCAGCATTAGAAGGCTGCAATTTGATATAGAAAGGTGATCTAAAGCCAACTTCATTAGAGTAAGAAGCCAGGAAAGAGCCCAAATAAGGGTTACCAGTGCTGCCAATAACTTGGGAGCTAGCCAGGCAATAGGCAAGCAAGGCAGTACTCCAGACAGGGAAGAAGGGCTGCATCTCAGCTGAGCCTAATGCGATTGAGGAGAGCAGGCTACTTACTGATGGGATGGACCATGCCTGGGGCTGGTCAGAAATGTGTGACTGGAAGGGGTGAAGCCCAGGGAGATAAGTTCAGTCAGTGTGAGCAGTCTGACTCAGGCTGTGCTAGTGGAAGGAGCTCCTGGCACAGAGCTGAGAGGCACTATTGGAACGGTGAGTTGGCCTAGCAGGGCAAGGGCTGAGAGAAGCCAGCTGAACAGGGTAGAAGCTGGGGAGAGCCTGGAGAGAGGCATCCAGCCCCAGCTGTTGATGTTTGGGGTTTTGATAACTGTAGATTGTTAAACGGGAGGACCAGGTTGTGGCTACATAGGTAGTGGAGACCCTGGACAGGGTGCCTGGGAGGCACTCCACACTATCAGGGGCTGAGGCCAGAATAAAACCCTGCAAAGTTCTGGGACCCTTGTGCAAGCCAAAGCCAGACCATGCAGGGGCAGTGAGTGAGTAGCCCTACAAATGGGTCCAGGAGCCCAAGTGACTGGAAATGCATACAGAACCAGAGCTCGCATGAGGGATGACAAAGTAAAAACCATGAGGCATGACTATGGAAGAGGCTGGAGGCCACAAATAAGGCCTTTAAAGCAACTTAATGCCCAAGGCATGGACAGGCCCATGAGTGGTGCCTTCAGGGCAGGTTAAGGGCTGGTAGGGCATAGAATAAGTGGGTGGCAGGGAGTGACCAGTAATACTGAGAGTATGGCTTGGTCAATTAAAGGTGATCAGGATCACTCCAGGACTTGGGAGCATCCTTCCACATCATACGCATCAAGGCATGGCAGAAGAATACACTGAGGAACTAGAGTGGGCAGACCTGCTACAGGGGCCAGACCTGCTACAGGAATGCTTTCGTATGAGCATGTCACTTGTTATAGAGATATTGTCAAAAATACAGTGGCTGACACAGCAAGTGGTATAGACAAGCCCATTGGTCATACTGGGCTGCACTGGTAGGTGTGTTGCCAGTAGATAAAGGGAAGTGATTATTCCCCTCTATTCAGTAAGGCCACATCTGGAGTACTGCGTCCAGTTTTGGGCCCCCCACTACAGAAAGGATGTGAACAAATTGAAGAGAGTTCAGTGGAGGACAACAAAAATGGTCAGTGGGCTGGGGGGCATGACTTATGAGGAAAGACTAAGGGAACTGGGCTTATTTAGTCTAGAGAAGAGAGGACTGAGAGGGGACTTAATAGCAGTCTTCCAACTACCTGAAGGGGGATTCGAAAGAGGATGGAGCTAGACTGTTCTCAGTGGTGGCAGATGACAGAACAAAGAGCAATGGTCTCAAGTTGCAGCAAGGGAAGTTTAGCTTAGATATTAGGAAGAATTTTCTCACTAGGAAGGTAGTAAAACACTGGAACAGGTTATCCAGAGAGGTGATAGAAGCTCCATCCTTGGAGGTTTTCAAGACCCAGCTAGACAAAGCTTTGGCTGGGATGATCTAGTTGGGATGGTCCTGCTTTGAGCAGGGGGTTGGACTAGTTGACGCTCTGAGGTCCCTTCCAACCCTAATTTCTTATGATTCTATGATTCCTCAGCCCATTCTGTCTTTGGTCTTTAGGCTAATCCTGTTAACTAGGGCCATTAACAAAGGTTGGCATACAGAAACTGGACTGAAATCACTACTTCATCTCATGAAGCACTAACCAGCACCTTAGATATTAAATGTTTTGCATCCACTCCCAGTCCCACGAGCAGTCAAGTCTACTGAAAACTCCAGGTTAGCATCTAGAAGACTCCTGGATAGAAAATCTCTACTCTGGGACCTAGGAGGGAACCCCATAGTCCTGGGCCATAAGCATAATCTGCATGTCAGACTGGTTAATATCAGCTACACCTTAAAGATGCAAATGTTGCAGTTTCATAATAATGACCTATTGGGACAAATAGTGAGGCAGGTCTGCTTAATAATGACCTATTGGGACAAATAGTGAGGCAGGGCTGCTTCTTCTTTCACTATTCTGGCTTGTAAGCGAGCTGCTGTTGAACTCTGGAGGTGGCAAGGTTGTAGTTGGAGAGTTGGTGGGGGGTAGAACAATATGCCATAGCTGCCTTGTTTGAGATGTATTAGCAAAGGCAGCAGTGACAGTTTCCAGGACTACAAATGCAAGTACTGTATTAAGAGGTCTTGTCTTACCAATGCACTCTGGTCTATTTCTGGTAGATCACCTTTAGGTGGTCTGCAGAGAAGAAGTGTGACTTCTGGAGGAGCACCTCTTAGCAAGTGGAGGACATCCTAGGCAGGAAGAAATTATATTAGCCTTGTTGTAAAATGCACAGGTCCCAAGTTACAATATATCTCCCTTCTCTTAAGAGAGATTACTCCCTTAAGAGTGAAAACGTATTAATTGTGTTTGATAATTCCTTCATGCCCGTACCTTTCATCAGCATATTGAGGCCAACAATCACTGTTCAATAATGTGCGTCTGAAAGCAGCATTAGACTTTTTAACATCAAAACAATGTTTGCAGTTATTAATCTAGCTTCCATTCCAACAATCCATATATGGCTTTGGATCAATATTTGTAATATTTTATTTTGAGGAAAATAGCTAAGGAGGAACAAGCTAAAGTCCTATGTAAGTGAGACAAATCATCAACTCATGTAAATCAGCATAGCTCCAAAAACTACAGAAGAGGTATGTTGATTTTTCACCACCTAGGAATTTGTCCTTCTATTAGGCAGACAAGGTTCCTTGGGTGAATCTGATATCTTTTATTAGACCAACCCAAATGGTTGGAGAATAGTTATTAAGCAAGCTTTCGGGTTCAAGAACCCTTCGTCAGGCTAAGGAAGCTTCAGCAGTTGGTGTGTGCTCTTCCATCCAGGAAGCCTGACGAAGGGTTTTTGAACCCGAAAGCTTGCTTAATAACTATTCTCCAACCATTTGGGTTGGTCTAATAAAAGATATCAAATTCACCCAAGGAACCTTGTCTGCCTATGTCCTTAGACCAACACGGCTACAACCCAAACCCCTCCTTCTATTAGGAGCATTTATTTACTGGCACTCTGCTTTTCATTCCAGTGCTGGATGGAGCCCTAACCTTGTTGGAAAATAGGTGTTTTAGGGCACCGATTTTACTCAGTTTGGTACCTTCTTTGAGATGAAGACCTTAAAGGCCAAACTTCAGTCCACATACACAGACTGAATACGTTGCCTGCACACAAAGAAACAAGACAAGGGAGCTGGGAGGGAAGGGTATCTTCTCTGACAACATCAGGAGCACAGCATAGAGTGTACCTGCAGTTCTCCAGGGCCAACTACAATAATTTCTACAAGTATATTTTCAATAGAAGGCCTCTGGATTCTCAGATCTACTAATTATGGTCTGTGGGCCTGCTGGCAGGGACTTTTATGCAGCAGCAATTCTTGGTGCCTTGGGGGTAAAATCTCTGTACTCCAACCCTCCCCATACAAAGGAACTGCACTGAATGCATGGGTTTGGATCCCCTTGTGTTGCTTTCATGGCTAAGAGGACTTGTCCCTGCCTGGATGTATGGACAGTGCTTGTGATTTCATTTCCTAGATGTGATGTGCACACAGCACACTGAGGGAATGAACCAGCATGTCACTTTTTAACCACATCTTATGCACTATCTAGCAAATATTCTCTGACATCCTTCTCACAAAGACAGCAGGTAGGTCTAGTATCACATTTCTGCTTCCAGTTACATGTTGAAGGCCTGTATAGTATTACAGTGTGGCTTACATCATCATAAATTAAGGATGGACAAATCTCACATGGTTGGGAGGTGGAACAAGAACCCAGGCAAAAGGAATGTTTGTGGAATCCTATCTGATCAGGCTTTCCTATGGGATTCCCCACCCTCCTTCCTGCTGCTTAGACTGGAGATGCAGTGGAAACAGCCCCCTCCATGGAGCCATTTGGCAATTCTAGCTTTCTACTAGAAACAAGAAATACAGACATGGGACAATATTGCTAGATTAGATTTTATCTAGGAATCAGTGAGACTTGGTGCCTTGGGGAAACAGTCAGAGCATTAAAAAATCATATTTTATGGTAGTCAGCCCAACATGTAAAGCACTTAATGTCACAGTTATTCAAAGTAGGTATATGATGCCTGATCCAATGAAGCTTTTAACATTAAAACATTTGGGTTTCTATATCCAAAGCTGCAACCCCGGAAAGCCCCATACAGCTGCTACCTGATCTTGGAGGTGCATAATTTCCAGAGGTGCTGTAGTCTTAAACCGCCAAGAATCCCAGTGCCTGAAAGTCCTATTTCTTGCAATCCTGGAGGCACCTCACTTTTGAGAGGACTGAGCAGTTTGGCACCTTCCATATACTTAAGCCATAGCTGTTCCTCTGTCTGTGTCCCCTGAGGGGCTCAATCCAGGAAGCATTCTTAAAACATTCCTGAAACATCATTAGGATTGGGCTCCCTACAAAAATTCAGTGATGATGGCTTTCTTCTAAAATACATGTGAAGCATGAGGTTGATAGTGCCCCCTATGGGTTAGGATGCTCTGGCAGGAAGTGGGAGACCAAGGTTCAATCCCTTCCAGGTCAGACCAACACCTTCACACCAAGAGAGTCCCCAGACCACCACACCATTCCAGTTCAACACTCTCCACCCCTTTGACTGGAGTTGTACAGAAATAAATGGAAGTCATAGGGCTCGAGAGCATATGCATGGCTCTGTAAGCCAGTAATTTGGGCAACTGCCTGGGATGGGGTGGACTTAGGTTCTAGTTTCTACTTCCAGAACTGTTTCCATATTTTACCCAATGCCTGTTTATGAAAAATACAGATGCAGTCTTGAGAGGGGAGAGCAGAAGTCTGATCTATCCCTACCCAGGCTGAGGAGGGAGTTGAACTGGAGTGAAAGCTGTACCCACACATTGAGCTGTTGGATAAAAGGAGAGAAGCACTCCATCATCATTCTAATACAAAAAAGTGAGTTCTGCTCAGTTCTTTGAAAGAAAGAGCAAAGGTATCCCTCTTCATGAACAGGGTCTGGATTGTGAGTCCCAGTTGAACTATGCTGCCTCCCTGTAGCCCCATGAGAGACATCTGGGAGATGGAACTTAAAACCTGCCTTGCCCTCAGAGTTTCCGTCCTGGCTGTTTTGGATACTGTTCTGGGTGCTTATGTCTCTCCACGCACAGGATAGTGAGTCTGGGTGCCTAACACAGGGTTTTGGATCTCACTGCAAAGACCAAATGCCTACAAATTAGGTTTCACAAACTTTATTTTTTAAATGTCGAAGTCCTTTATTGGATTTATTCCCCATTTTACCAATGGGGAAATGGAAGCACAGACAATTTAAATGATTTGCTATAAATCATATATAGAATTAGGAATAGAAGCCAGATCTCGCTACCTAGGCCTAGTATGACTAACTACCATCGCACCCTGTCAACAGGAGAGTTTATAACATTGTCTGTCACCCCAGTCAGTAACAGGCATCCTCAATAATAATGGCTGCCTTCATAGTTATCTTTTAGGAGACTTCATAAAGAGGTAAGAAGCTAACTGAAAACTAAACAGCAAAATATAGGGCTAGATCCAGATTTCAGTTACACTGGTGTAAAAATGGAGTTACTCCATTCAAGACAGTGGAGTTTTTCCAGATTTACCCTAGCATAACAGAAATTGGAATCTGGCATGGCACATTTCATATGGCATTTTAGAACATACATGGACTGAAGGGAAAAGTATGTCTACTGGTTTATTTAAAACAAGACAGATGATAGTGAATTAAGTAAGTGGCACATGTCAGCCAATAGATCTTTTTGGTGTCAAGAGCAGACAGCAAGGTAACTAAATAGTGAAGAAAATTCTACATAATAGTTTTATCTGAATTTAGTAAAAGAATGCATGCCCTGAGCCTTTCAAGCAACAATAAAGTAGGTTGGGTTCATTTAAACTTAATTAATATGTTACACAGCAGGAGGCCCATTCAGGGTACCTGATATGAGAGTCCTTGAATAGGTTTCCCATTCACAGCTAAAATGACATCTCCAGCTTCAATTTCTCCATTCTCTTCAGCTGGCTGCCCAGGAAAGAGTCTTTTGATCCTCACAATATTTCCTCCAAGGTGTTTGCAAGCGTCTCTTTTCATCTGCAGAAAACTGAAGCCAAGGCCTCCAGAATTCTTTATCAGTTTGACTTCAAATGTATTATCTGCTCAAAAAGCACGCAGGAAAATAATCAGGTTCCATGGCTTGTACCCCACTAAAGTGGCAGTCAGCTCTGAAAAGTACCTTCATAAAAATGACCCTCTCTTATTCAGCAGCATGGCTGACTAGTGCTGCTTTACTAGGGGGGGATGTGCACCCGCTGCAATTCCCCTGCACGGGTTCCCCTGCAGCCAATCCCACTGTGCACCCCCTATGCATCACCACTGTTCAGCAGATCTCCTTTGTGTGTCACAGAGTCAGGTCTGTTGAAATTAAGGCCAAAAAAAAATAAAGGCTTTGATTGCTTTAATTGCTCCTTCACCCTGAGGCATTAATTAGGTTGAGAGAAACTGAGCTGAATTCTATTCCACCTTCTGTGTCCATAGGTGTAGTAACTCCCAATTAGTTACAAGCCAGCTGAGGGGGAGTCAAGTGAAGGCAAAATTGGGGTCTTTTTTGTGACTGCCTCTGAATACTCAGAAGAACTCAGCAATATTCTATTGCGTATTTATTACGTCTAGTTTAGGTACCTTTTGCACAGGTATAACTCAAGAGTTTATGAATGTTTCTGGGGGAGCCAAAAGCAGCACAGTAAGAAGCAGGACCTACTTCACCGTCATGGAAGTGCGGTGACAGCACTCAGCAGCAGGGAATTGCACGTAGGCTAAGGGCATCTTATTCCCCACCCACAGCACTGTCCCATAGGCATGCATAGCACCCTCAGATGAGCCACTCTATGCTTGGGCTCTCAGAACATAATCCCAAGCAACACAGCTGTCAATTGCATAAGTATGCTGCAAGGGAGGGGAAGGGACTGACTGCTCTTTCCTGACCTGTGCATTCATGGAGGGGGCGTTATTATTTGCCTGTCGAGCAGTGACTGCATATCTGCAGTACAACCATCAGTTGATAAAGCAAAAAGTGCTGCGCACTTTTTTATCCCACTAAAATAACAAATAGATCCAGTTTTGCTTTTGCTGATGTCACAAGCAATTTCATTTATTTTAACAGGGTTACAATGGAATAAATGTGGTATCTCAGTCAGCAGCTGTAATATTAAATGCATATCCAAATGCTTTGGAAATATTATATAAAATCAATTTTAAATTATGCCACTGACATCTTTTATTACTCTTATTCAGTATGTAGATTTTCTCTGTGAGCTGTGGAAATATTATGTGATTGTTTTCATTCATTCACTTCATGGAAAATGTAGTAAGCACAATAAGAGATTTTCTCTTGGGTTCCCTTTGTTATCTCTCACCATCTGTTGCAAACGGGTAGCCCTTAGGATCATCTGATGAGGAAGCAGCCAAGAAGGTGACTGGACATTTTCCTTCCTTTCTGTCATTAGCTGCTGGGCATCTCTCTGCTAAATCATGATGGCCCCTTTCTAGAACCAGCTTTGCAACCTGAAAGCAGGGTGGAGAAGCTTCATTCAAAAGCTGCACAGTCTGCATCAGTTTTGTACTTCTCTTCAAACAAGAGAACAGAAAAATCCCTCTCAGCTCTGTTCTGCTGCAAATTTCTCCAAATCAGTAGCCCCACTGAGTTGTGTCTTATACAAACCTGGCCAGCTTTCTTAAGATATTCCACAGCCTGCTTGTGTGTAATGCCACATAAGCTGATCCCATCCACTTCTAGCAAGCGATCACCTGAGACAGACAACAAATGAAGCAAGTCAGTCATGTGGTGCTCAGTCCATGTGGGGATAAATACTGTGCTCTTGAAGCTACCCACACTTCTCCAACCGTGGCTGCATTTTGTAACTTTCAATGGCTGCCTTAAAAGCAAGTCTATGGCTTTCTAGCCAAACTCCATTACTTCTGCATTTGCCATATTCCTAGATATTAGGAGTGTACAAAGCGGGCTCTATTTGATTCAGATTTGGATTTGGCCTAATCACGGACAGTGATTCAATTCGTTGATTCAGATCACTGTCCCTGATTCAATTCGGCCGAATCTGAATCTGAAGATTCGATGCTGATTCGGAGAATCAACGATTCAGACATAGACACAGCTTTAAATATTTTTTCTGCTTACCCTGAGGTAGCAGGTGCAGCTCGTGATGGCTGCGATGCTGAAGCGCATGGACCGTCCCACAGGAGTGGTGGGAGGGGGCCTGCACATGCTCGGCGGTGAACCCAGAAGTGAACCGGAAGTACTTCTGGTCCACTTCTGGGTCTGCCAGGGAGTGTACTGGGCCCCCCCCATGCCTCCCCAGCTTGGTGATCAGCCACATGAGGACCCCGGGTGCCCCCCCCCGACCCAGGAGGCACCAGTCACTGAGCTGGGGGGTGGGCACAGGGCCCCCCCTCCCCACCCCACGCGCTCCCCGGCAGACCTGGAAGTGGACTGGAAGTGCTTCACTTCTGGGTCTGCTGCCGAGTGCGCTGGAGAGCCCCCGTGTTCCTGTGGGATGCTCCATGTGCCCCAGCACCACAGTGTTCATGAGCCCCTGCTACCTAGAGGTATGTAGAAAAAACATTTAAGATACCCTGTAAAAATGTGATGATGTTAGTTACCACAAAAGATGTTCATCAGCAAACTCCTTGAAGACACTGGAGACTCTCTGGCCATATGTGTGGCTATGAAGGACATATGGATCTAGATCTGCTTGGGACTCCTGTTTTGAGCAATGGGAGGTGTGGGTGGCAAGACAGTAACCCAGTGGTTATCAACGTTCCCACACACAGAGCACTCTTTAGTAAATGCCAGCTCTTAGCTTTCATTCATTTTTATCTACAGACAAATTCTGAAACAGGAACAACAAACAGGGTAGTTTGCAAGCACTTTGCTGGGAGCAAAAGAAGGAAGGGGAAGAGGAACCAGGCACCAGATCCTGCTCCAGGAAGGTAAGTGAGCTAGGGCTGCCTGTGTGCTTGGCTTGCTGAATGTTTGTTCGGTGGGCTGTGTGTCACAATGACAGAGCCACCACCTCTGGCAGCTCTTCCTCTGCTTGTACCTGTGAAATACCTGTCCAGGCAGGACCACGAACTGTTAAGGCTTCCCCCAGGTCCTGGTTTGGTGCTGTGGAGACTGTGGCTTTCAAGTTCCTTCCACTGACAGCCAGGTGAGGGAGTACCTGCAATGTGAGTGATGTATCCTGGAGCTGTCCCTTAAGAAGCAGGCAAGAGAGCTACAGGAGGAGGTAGCAAGGCTCTGAATCATCCTCTGCCATGAGGACTTCATCAATTCAGTGCTGAAGTGGACCTCTAAGACTCTGGAGGAAGGACTGCCAGAGGCAGCACTAGAGAAGGAAAAGGATATGGATTCCCAGGAAGGTGGAAGCTTGTGACCTCTGGCATCAAGCAGAAATCTTCATCTCACCTGAAGCAGTTTGCCTGGAGAACAGATATAGAGCCCTTGCAACAGACGAGAAGGAACATGTTGCATTGGTGGGGGAGGTCAGATGAGGCATCCCCACAGTTGGGACGATCAAGACCATTACCACCAAGAGGAAGCAATGGGTGGTGGTGGTTGGAGACTCCCTTCTGTGAAGGATGGAGCATCCATCTGCTGGCCTGACCTGTTGTCTCAGGAGATCTGCTGCTTGCCCGGAGCCCAGATCCAAAATGTCATAGAAGGATTACTGAGACTCAACCGGCCCTCTGACTAGTACCCCAGGCTGCTCAAAAGCAGACTTTTAACTACTACCCCAGGGTGTCAATGATACTGCCAGGGGTGACCGTTGGCAAATCAAAAGTGACTACAGAGGTCTGGGTGCAAGGATGAAGGGGACAAGGGCTCAGCTGGTGTTCTCCTCAATCCTTCCTGTCAAGGGAAAGGGCCCAGGTAGGAGTGCATACATCCTGAAGATCAATGCATGGCTGCACAGATGGTGTTGCCAGCAGTGCTTTGGCTTCTTCGAACACAGGATGCTGTCCCAAAAAGAAGGATTGCTAGGAAGAGATGGGATCCACCTGGCAAAGAAAGGAAAGAGCAACTTTGCAGACCGGATCGCTAATGTAGTGAATTGGGCTTTAAACTATGTTAACCGGGGGATGCAGACCAAAGCTCTAAGGTAAGTGGGGAAGTGGGTGACCTGAAGGAAGCACAAGCAGGAGGGGGCAACAGGGGACACATTCTCATTCTTCCTGAGAAAGTAGGGCTATCAGTTAGTTACCTCAGGGGTCTGCACATGAATGCAAAGATCCTGGGAAACAAGCAGGAAGAAATAGATGCCCACACACGATGACAGAACTATGATGTTATTGGAATAACAGAAACTTGGTGGGATAGCTCACATGACTGGAGCACTGTCATGGATGGATATAAACTGTTCAGGAAGGATGGGCCGGGGAGAAAAGGAGAAGTTTCTCTTTATGTAAAAGAGTTGTATGATTGCTCAGAGCTCCAGTATGAAACTGGAGACAGGCCTGTTAAAAGTCTCTGGGTTCGGGTCAGAGGTAAGAACAACAAAGATGATGTTGTTGTGGGTATCTGCTATAGACCACCAGGCGGAGAGGGTGAGATAGATGAGGCTTTCTTCAAACAGCTAGCAGAAGTTTCTCAGTCAGAGGCCCTGGTTCTCATTAGGGGACTTCAATCACCGTAACATCTATTGGGAGGGCAATACAGCAGTGCACAGGAAATCCAGGAAGTTTCTGGAGGGGGTTGGGGACAACTTCCTGGTGCAAGTGTTGGAGAGGTCAACTACAGGCCATGTTCTTCTTGACCGTGATTCACAAACAGGGAAGAATTGATAGGAAATGTAGTAGTGGATGGCAACTTGGGCAGCAGCGACCATGAGATGATTGAATGCATGATCTTGAGGAAAGGAAGGAAGGAGAGCAGCAGAGTATGGACCCTCAACTTCAGAAAAGCAGACTTTTAACTCAGTCAGGGAAATGATGGGCAGGATCCCCTACGACAGGGATTTTCAACTTTTTTTAGTCTACGTACCCCCTGGGTCGGACACCAAGGAAGGCGGTAGCGTGTGGCCAAATGCAAAGCAACCTAGTGACAGATGATGTGGAAAAGTCTGAAGTACTCAATGCCTTTTTTCACCTCAGTCTTCATAGCCAAGGTCAGGTCCAAGACTACTGACCTGGTGGCACAGTTTGGGGTGAAGGTGAGCAGCCGACAGTACAAGAAGAACAGGTTAGGGACGATTTAAAGAAGATTGACATGTACAAGTCTATGGGGCAAAACACGATGCACCTGTGTGACCAATGTGATTGCAGAGCCACTAGCCATTACCTTTGAAAACTTGTGGCAATTGGGAAAAGTCCCAGATGATTAGAAAAGGGAAAAATATATTGCCCATCTTTAAGAAAGGGAACAAGGAGGATGTGGGGAACTATAGACTGGTCAGCCTCACCTCAGTCCCCAGAAAAATCATGGAGCGGGTCTTTAAGGAATCTTTTTAAAACATTTGGAGGAGAAGAAGGTGATTGGTCAGCACAGATTCACCAAGGGCAAGTTATGCCTAACTAACCTGATTGCCTTCTATGATGAGATGACTGGCTCTGTGGATGCGGGAAGAGTAGTGGATGTAATATACCTTGACTTTAGCAAAGCTTTTGATAGGGTTTCCCACAACATTTTTGCAAGCAAGCTAAGGAAGTACAGGTTGGATAAATGAACCGTAAGGTGGATAGAAAAGTGGCTGGATTGTCAGGCTCATATAGTAATAATCAATGGCTCAATGTCTAGTTGGAAGCCGGTATCAAGTGGAGTGTCTCAGAGGTTGGTCCTGGGACAAGTTTTGTTCAATATCTTCCTCAATGACCTGGAAGATGGAATGGAGTGCACCCTCAGCAAGTTTGCAGATGACACAAAGCTGCAGGGTGCAGTTGATATGCTGGAGGGTACAGCTAGTATTCAGAGTGACCTAGACAAATTGGAGGATTGGGCCAAAAGAAATCTCATGAGGTTCAACAAGGACAAGTGCAAAGTCCTGCACTTAGGACAGAACAATCCCGCTACAGGCATGGGACCAACTGGCTAAGCAGGAGCTCTGCAGAAGAGGACCTGGGGGTTACAGTGGTCAGTAACCTGAATATGAGCCACCAGTATGCCCTTGTTGCAAAGAAGGCTAATGGCATACGGGGCTGCATTAATAGAAGCATTATCAGCAGATGAAGGGAAGTGATTCTTCCCTTCTATTCAGCATTGGTGAGGCCACATCTGGAGTACTGTGTCCAGTTTTGTCCCACACCCCCCACTACAGAAAGCATATAGACAAATTAGAGAGAGTCCAATTTCGATTTGAATCCAATGGTCTCAAGTTGCAGCAAGGGACACTTAGTTTAGGTTTTAGGAAAAACTTTCTCAAGAGGAGGGTAGTGAAGCACTGGAACAGGTTACTCAGAAGGGTTGTGGAATCTCCATTTTTGGAGGGTTTTAAGACATGGCTAGACCAAGCTTTGGCTGGGATGATGTACTTGGTCCTAGCTTTGAGCAGGAGTTTGGACTAGATGACCTCCTGAGGTCCTTTCCAACCTTAATTTTCTATGATTCTGTTGCAAAAAAACTCAGAAAGATCACAACAAGTCAGAATGGTTTTGACCCTATAGCTTCCTATTTGAAATCTCTGGGTTTATATTGTGAACCATGCCTAGGTGTTAGCACACCTATCAATGCAAATACTGCCTGGCACCCCTCAATACCCTTAAAAGGGTACAACAGTACCCCAGGGTGTCATGGCATCATCACTGAGAACCCCTACAGTAACCAATAGACTGAAAGGCTGCATATTCTGTCACAGACAGCAGAAGACAATCACTGTCTGTCCCTCAACCCTTTCATGTAACACATTTCAAATATCTGTGAATAGAGTTCAGCCCCACACATTTTGCTTCCCCAGCACAGAATTGTATTTGCAAATGTCCTACCTATTTTTATTTGTCCATCCTTATCAGCTGGTCCTTTAGGGATAAGCGACTTCACATATATCCCACCATGACGCACACTAGTGTTAATTCCACCCTGCAAAATACATACGCACATCTTAGTGGGGTCCTGAAGCACTACATGCCCCTCCTTCAACAAAAATCAAAGCAAAAATGGGTGTTGCCATGTAAATTCTGAAGAGTGTGTCACAAATCAGCAACTGCATCAGAAATTACCTTTTAAAAATTTAGGGGGAAGACTGAAAACAGTTGCTATTCTCGTTCCATAATGAGTGTATAATGAACCTCTCAAGGCAGTCTTAATTGTCCATGTTTTACTGTTCTGTCTAAAATTCTGAGCGCTTCTATGTGACTGCATATAAATATTTTAAATCATTCTGGAATTCCCCCTCATGCTACTATAAATGTGGTTAAAGGTAGCTAAGAGTCACTTTCCAAAATCTGGATAATGCATTAAATTGCTATTAGTCTTTCAGATTAAATGTACAGACCTGGTCCTGAACATTCATTGCCAGTAGAACTTCTCTAACATTTTTTGCAAGAATAGGAGAGTTAGTTCCCACCCCCAGGCAAATCCCAAGCTCACTTATAGGTCTGTTCTGTCTGCCTCCCTACATCCTCTCAACAATTTCAAAGGAACAGATAAGCCCTAACTTTCTGCTGTATTGCCACCTTGTTTTAACGTGGGAGTAACTGTGTTTTAATGGTAAATGAAATAGTATGTGAAACTAAATTGGCAGAGTAAATCCCATGACCCAATGGAGGGGTATCATTTCACCAAGATAAACAGGCAGCATTTCCACTGCTGCCTCTGAACATGGGAAAGTAAGTTCATATAATTAGAACCTATAGTTTGTAATCACTTTGCCAATCACTTAGGAGGGTTTGGGCCTTGAAATACTGGGCCTTGCTGTCAGCCTGTCTTCTTCTAGGACCCCATGTAATACACCTTCCCATATGTTCCTTGGTAATGTGGGCATTGTATTCATGAATGCATTGTAAGATCAAAAATAACACTTGCAGTCACACTGATTCCCAAAGTCCCGTCATCTTTAACCAGCTCCACGGTGTAGATTCCATTTGAATTGACTTCAGCGGGAGGCATTGAGTGAAAGGAGTCAGTTTCCTGTCTCGAAAATATAAACACTAATGAGACGACAGCATGGAAAGGGAGAGAAATTCTAAGAGGCCCAATCTGCTGTCATTTATACCAGTGTGGAAATCCAGATTACTATCACTTCTACCCAGGTGTAAATTGGAGCAGAATTTGATTTACATGATATAAGCTGAGGACAGCTAGGGAAGATTTTCAAAACCTGAACAATTAGATTTTTTTAATTATTATAGTCCATAACAATAAGACTTTTGAAATAATAAATTAGTACCAATTGAGAGAACCCACATTTTTCCACCAAAAACATGAATTTCCACAGGAAAAAAAGAGAAAAACTATTTTCAACATTTCCCCTGTATTTTGACTGGCTCTAAGCCTGGTCAAAATGATTACAGTACATTTAAAAATGTTAATAAAGAAACAACTGAAAATTGTTAAGCACCATTTCCATGGGATTTCCTTCTCACCCAACACATTTTTGTTCCGCTCTGTTACTTTCTATATTCTTAATAGCCAAATATTTCAAAAGGTACATATTAGACATACTGGGCACATCTACATGTTCATTAATGCACCATGGTTACAGCACATTCAGTTTAGTAGCTGTAATAACAGGTACTAACTGAATGTGCACTAACTGGCACTAATGAGCAGTAGCACTGGCGCACAGTTTTTTTGTGAAGTTAATGCACGATAGACTAATTCAACTGTGCTTAGCAGCGCTTTCGCTATGGTGCATTAATACTCGGTAGAATTAGTCTACATGTAGATGCGCCCACTGTTACTAAGTACTACTAAAACAGTATTTACCTCCACATCCATGTGGTCAACTGAAAGAACAGAAATCTTGTTAACCAATTCTGGTGCCAAACTCCAAGAAAGAACCTTTTCAAGTTCATCTATATTTATGTCTTTTTCCTTGGAGGGTCCTGTATGGCAGCCTTGTATTCTTTTTCTCCCACTGTCTATGCAAGTTTTCTCAGACTCACTGGTGCTGCTTTTTCTTGACAGATTTTTCTCTTCCTTTATTCCTTCCTCATACATGTCTGCAAAAACAGACCAACACCAAACATTGTCAGCTGAAAAAATCTGGAGAGAGATACTGTTGTGCATTGCCACTGCCAAATTCTAGCGCCGCAGGCCAGATGCCGTGACTCCATGCTCTGGATCTTGCCCGTGACATAATTTCCATCGACTTCACTGGTACAAGATTAGTATCAGAAAGCACCAATACATTTCACAGAGACTGCTGAACAGCCAACAGATAGAGCTATTAGGAGTCACTTGTACTTACTACTTGCCAACTTAAACTACAGTTTAGTGGAAAAATTCTTCTAACATATCCCATTACAAGTGCCCTGAGCCAACTAATCTCCTGCAGCAGATAAAGACATCCAAAACTGTATTGTACCTTTTGGTTGAGAGATGATCAGTTCCACTTCATCAGGAGCACTCTGTATAATTTTAACTGCAGTATTAAAAGAAACACCCTCAAGACTAATATTATTCACAGATATGAGTCTTCCACCTAAAATAGGATTAAAACAAAAAACATCAAAAGGGAAAAAATAAGGTCAGAATGATTCATTATAAACCATGAAAGCATCTCAATTCTAATTAAAAATTGGGGACAGTGACCTGGTTTGATGTGCCCAGCTCTGTCTGCAGGTCCTCCGGGAATAACTGAAGCAATAAAGATTCCAAGGTCTAATTTCCCCACATTTTCTCCTCCAATAATTACGAAACCTGTGAAAATGAGATAGCACAAGACGAGAGAGATGCTAGTATTATTGGAAAAAATGAACAGCTGAAGAACAAAAGCATCTTTTCTATTGCCATAAGTTATGTGCACATTCCAGGGACTTAAACTCTCTGATCTTTAACTTCATCTAGACCTTGATTTAGGGGAGTAATTAAGCTCAAACTTAAAATTTAACATCCACTAAATTTTAGCTTGATTTCAATAGAGAGTGGTTACCCTTCCTCAATAAAAAAGGTGCTCTCCTGAGTCAGGACCTTAAAGTGCTGAACTCCCAAGTCAGATAAGCCACAACCAACATAGCCTTGGAAACTGTTATAACAACTAACTGAGAAGTATAAACCTTGTTAGATGCATTTGATAGATCCTTACTAGAACACATTTATCATATGCTTGATTTTGTATTTTGACTACTTGTACCATCAGTGCTGCACTAGCCAGTGCCTGCGTTAGCTGTAATAAGGCTCGTAGCTTAGCATATATGCCTTTTGCCTCTTTCTTATTGGATAATTAGTGATAAAAATTCCCCTCTGGAACTCTGATTTATTCCCTGCAGCTGGTTTTGATGACAAGTTTGTTTTACTAAGCAGCATGCAAGAATTTCAATTAGAGAGAGGCCCACATTGTGGTGTGTTTGCATCTAAATGAGATCATTCTTAAGGTTTAGATCTAAACAATAATTCTACACGCATTGTAAGGCCACCACACATAGGTAGTCAGCTGGGTTTTAACCAGTGACTTTCCAAATAAAGCTCTATCATCCATGTTACAAGTGTGACTGAACTAGCAGCAGTAACATGCTGCTGCCCTCTACAGACCAGCCATTAAAAGAGGGTGCAAACGCATACTTTGCTGGTGTGTTGCATAACAGAATATTACGTACAAAACAATTTAAGCACTCAAAAGTCAGGAAATAGCAGTGTTATGATGATATATTTGCTATACTGCTGAAAGACCTAGACAAGTACCTTAAATGTCAAATGGGAAACCAGGGTCTAGTTGTTTTAGTAAAGCACCATAAACCTCCCTGAGTTTTTGGTAACCCCTTCGAGAAAAATGTGGCTACTGATGCTTTGAACCTGTCTAATCCTTTCCTATACCTCTTTCTATCGACAAGACCAATCTTACATATTGTGAGAGCCAGGGCAAAAGCAGTGGGAGGCTGTTTTAATACCAGACAGTGGGCAGTATGGTAACTTTTTAATGCTGCAAAGAAATACCACAAAATATTCACGTGCATTTGAACCACTTAAATGTACAAATATATCTTAAATGGTTCAAATGCATATGATTATTTTATAGTATTTCTTTGCATTTTAACTAATTAATTCAGCATACCAAATGTCTAGACATGATTCTGCCTCATTGCTTAAAAATAAATGAATTCTCAAGTTTGGTTCCAATGTGCAGTGCCCCATGCAGGATGGGGCCTGGGATAACTGCCCCATTGTCCTTGCCCTATGGCCACCCCATCACTGATGGAGTCAGCAAGAAAGAAGAAGCTTACGGACTTGCTTAGTTTCAATCAGCAAATGTCATACTCAGTAGCTATATTAGGATAGAGAAAACACAAAGGCATTTTTATAACTGGCAACACACAGCCTGTGTGCAGCCTATCCAGTGAGCCAGGCTCATTAAAAAAACTAATAGACTTTATTGAATGAAAACAAAGGCTAGAAATAGACATCACCAAATGAAGCAAATCATCTGTCACAGATTGTGTCCTGGTACAACTGATCCAGTTCATTGGGTGAAACATATATTGCCCACTATATCACCTCTATTGATCCTGGGAGCGCATCTTGGTAAGTGGGAAAACCACAGCTTCCCCACTTCCAGAAATGCAGCCTAGAGATTCCCAGGTGCATGTCTCTGTAAGTGGAAAAGCTGGGCAGGTGCTCCGTGGGCTTGAGGGGCCCAGTCCTAGGAATTCCTGTGGTTTGCAGGATCAGACTCCTCAAGCCCCGATAGCATCTGCCTGCAGCAGTGAGAGAGCATGGGAAGCTCCAAGGTGCTTATGCTCTTGCACCATAAAGTAAACAGACATCCACTGTTAAACTGTGGCAAAAATTGATAACACTTTCATCACAGCCACAATTTGTGGCATGACAAGGGGTATAGATGTCTGTTTGCTTGGCCTTTGTGCTGCCATGCAATTTTTTATGGTAGCACAAATGTTATGGAAGGCAATGCCTGTTTTTACCCAAAAAGTAAGCTAAAGACTCATATGCACGAGCTGAAAATCCTGGTACCAAAAATATGAATGTTCCTTACTCACCAAAGCCATTTTGAGAATCACGTTTTAAATGGACACAAATAATTTCTCTTTCCAGTCCACTTAACACAATCTCCTTTTGGCTAACTGGTGAACATGATGCTGTGAAACAAAACAGCTGAAGTCAATGCAGACAAAAGCCACAAGGGAAGAAAAGAGTTGCATTTGGTTTGGGGCAATTTGGGTGTTTAAAAGGTAAATATACTTTGTCCTTAATGTCAAGCTTACAATTCATTTTAAACAAATATAATACAGGTGGGGAGTGTTAGAGCAAGACTCCTGGAGATCAGCAATCTGTAGGTATCCAGAGAACACACAAGCACAGTTTGTAGCGGGCATGCTGCTGCTATATTGTCCTAGGAATCCCTGTCCACCCCCACTCACAGGATTCATGTCTAGCAGTGGATGTGTCTACACAAAACACTGTGTCACCATAGTGACAAGCTACAGTGACATGCTGCGGCGGGCACAAACTGTGATGCCAACGCTACATTGCCATAGCTCGTCACTACAGCGACACGGAGTCTAATAATAACCAAGCGCTACCAGGACTACACAGTGCATGTGTAGATGCACCTAGTAAAAAGCTGGTTTGAGCTGTGATTTTTAATGGAATTTGAGGGGAGCAAACACCCAACTCATATTGTATTTGAGTGGGATTTAGGACTTAATTCCCTGGATTTAACTCCCTGGACTTAACTCCCTCCCAACCAGCAGCAGTTGTGATGATGGCTATTGTAATGGGATCATATGTCACCCCATGTATGAGACTTCAAAGTATGGTTTTACTCTGAAAGGGGGATGTGTAAAGATTACATTATTGTCCTGGGTAGATCTGCTCTTTCTCCATATGTGAATCAGACAAGCTGACTTCAGGGACAAAAATAGTTTTTATTGCTTTTATTTTTATTAGCTGCACAATGCAAGCTTAGGTATATAGTGGAACCTGGAGTCTGTTCTGACTCATGCATTATGTACATAGCTGGCATGACATACCAAGCCAAATTATGCCCTTAGAAACATCCGTGGAACTTCAGTTAAGGCATTCACATATGATTGAGCAACTTCACTCAAGACAATTGTGTGTCACTGGACGCATCTACATGTGCCTCTTTTAAGCAGACTTAGCCTAAAGTCACCATTTTTAAAGCACATTAAGGGCACGTCTACACATGCATGTCCTTAATGCACCTTAAAAATGGTGATTTAAAGCTATGTGAGCCTAAATTTGATACCTGCATAAAGCAGGTATCAAATTTAGGCACGAATAGCTAAGTTGCATTAGTGCACGTGTAGATGTGCTAATGTGCATTAACACAGTATGCATCAATGGATAGACACTGCGTTAATGCGCATTAGCACATCTGCACATGCACTAATGCGACTTTAGCTATTTACACCTAAAATTATTGTACCTTAATGCACATTAGCGTGTTCACGTGTAGACGCGTGCCTAAATTACCTTAAGTTTAGGCAAACATAAATACACATGTAGACATGTGCACTGAGGCAATAATTTGACCTAGGAACCCTTATTACTGTTGCTGATGTCAGAGAATGGAGAAAAAGATCCCAAGTAAACTCATTGACTCAGGGTTAATTTATAGGTCTGATTAGGGAAAAAAATCTTTTGCTTTATAAAATGAAGAACTTTGGTTTGGAGTCACTGAAAAAAAAGTGTAGAATTCTATGGTTCCATTTTTCAATATAGCACTGCCTGTTAAGTACATCACAGACCATTATACTTACGGCTGGCTATATTCTGATTTGAGCGGATAGAGAGATAGTCATAACTTCTTTGGTTTTCATTTAAATTAATGTGCACTTCTGTCTGGGACAATCCTGATGGTGAGCTAGCAGTCAAGAAAGGAGGTTTACATTAATATAATAAATCAACAACGTGACTTAGCACTTATCATCATCTATAATTTACAAATACTGGTCAGAGGTAAGAAGAGAACACAGACATTCCTTGCGTATGACCACCTGCTCAAGCCACTAGACCATATCTCATGGATAGAGATGTATGTTGTTTGTAGTGCTGGCATTAGTTTTCAAATTAGATCTAATGCAAGACCACTTATGTAAGGATTTTTTCATGAGTCAAGAGGAAACAAACCCTTTATTTTAATGCAAACAGCAGGAAAGCAGGACAAAATCCCAGCATGAGTCTGCTATTCCTGCATATAAAGAGGAGTATTGATGGCTCATTACTGCTCCTCACTCTTCTAGACCCTAGCATTTTAAATGGCACAACAAGCTCTTCAAGGCCTTGTGAACCCTGTGCAGCTAGAGCAACCACCAGCACTTTGGTGGAGGTAGTGATGTAAATGAGAAGAGAAGAAGTCATTCTCTTTTTCTGCATACAACACTTTTAAACATCGAGGAATCCCTCAGGCAGGAGCGCCTTTGAGATAGTTAACTCCACACATAGGTGGATCTAGGACTTTCTTAAGGGGGTGCAAGAAAAGTGACCAGCATTGCAGGGGTGGCTGCATCTTGTACTCCTAGTGTCCCTCCCAACCAGTACAGACAGACCACACCATGAAAGAACAGCTGAAGATTTTTTTTAAGTCCCTGAATCAGGTAAAAATTTCACACCCACTGTTCTCACACCCCCTCCATTCCCAGCAGCATGTTCCCTTCCCTCTCATTCCCCATTTTCCCTGCCCACCACTGTTGTTGTCCTCCACTGATCTCAGGGTGGAAGAAGCTGCAGAGCCAGTCCTGCTGGGCTATGTGGGAGGCCAAACTCAGGCACAGTAGCCGTGACAGTAGACAGGTTCCCCTTCCTGAGACTTCCCCCAGCCTGGCAGGGAAGACACAGAGGACTGGGCCAGGTGGAAGAACCTACCCACCACTGCCACTGAGCCTGGCTCACCTGACAGCCCAGCTGGGGCAGAGTAAGAGCAAATCTAGAGCTCCTCTTGTCCCTGGTTCAGCCTGAGAGAGCAACAGCAGTGGATAGGGAAAAGGAGAAATGGAATGGGAAGGGAGGGGACGTGTCCCTGAACACAGGAGAAGAGGGGGATTCTTACCTGCTTCAGGGACTTTTTTAAAGTCCCTGGCTGCTGCCCCTGAGGTATGCTCAAAAAGGTGGGGGGGGAGGTGATCAGCCCTCCTCTGTACCCTCTCTGTATCTGCCTCTGCCCCATGCATTCAGTTCTGATACTGCCTGTCTGAGAGGGGCGCACACACACCCTGTGCTCTCCTTTTCACTTCTGTTCTTTTTTTCCTCTGTTCTTTTTTATCAGGCAGAGAGAAAATGGTTTGGTCTTTGAATTTGACACAAAGAGTACCTCTGCTAGCAGTCAAATCCTTACTTGTTAGATTGTGCCTTCTGTGTGTTCGTGTAATATCTAATACAGTGTAGCCCCCCCACCCTATCAGGGGCTGTTTGGCATGACTACAATGTTAATAATGGTTAATGATGCATGCTGGATTTTCAAGAGATTTGAAAGAAGTCTGCAACGATATGAAGCGCAATAGTTCATTTCATAGTTTCATAGTTTCATAGTTTCAGGGTCGGAAGGGACCTAATAGATCTTCTAGCCCGACCCCCCGCCAGGGCGGGAGAACAACCCAAAAACACAAACAAAACCACTCACCCTAAAAACAAAAACGGGACTCAAATGAGTCCAGCCAGGTAAGTATCCAGCCTCTTCTTAAAGATCCCCAGGGTAGGGGCCAGCACCACCTCCCTTGGAAGTTGGTTCCAGCTCCTAGCCGCCCTGACTGTGAAGTAGTTTTTTCGGATGTCCAATCTGTACCTCCTCTCCATCAACTTGTGCCCATTATTCCTTGTTATGCCAGCAGGGGCTAGGGGAAACAGCGTCTCCCCCAAACCCTTCTGGTTCCCCCTAGTGAGTTTATAGACGGTCACCAGGTCCCCCCTCAGCCTTCTCTTGTGGAGGCTGAATAGGTTCAGGTCCCGCAGTCTCTCACTGTAGGGTCTGCCCTGTTGTCCCCGGATCATGCGGGTGGCCCTCCTCTGGACCCTCTCCATGTTGTCCACATCCCTCCTGAAATGGGGCGCACAGAACTGGACACAATACTCCAGCTGCGGCCTGACCAGCGTCGCATAGAGGGGGAGGATCACCTCCCTGGCTCTACTCGAGATGCACCTGTGGATGCACGACAAGGTCCGGTTAGCCCTGCCAACCATGACCTCGCATTGTCGGCCCATGTTCATCTTGGAGTCAATAATGACACCAAGATCCCTTTCCGCCTCCGTGCTCTCAAGTAGGGAGCTCCCCATCTTATAAGTGTGCTGCTGGTTCCTACTACCCAAGTGCAGCACCCTGCACTTGTCCGTATTGAAACGCATCCTGTTCCTGTCTGCCCACCCCTGTAACCTATCCAGATCCTTCTGCAATCTCTCTCTCCCTGCTAGCGTGCTCACCTCCCCCCAAATTTTGGTGTCATCAGCGAATTTAAACAGGTTGCTCTCCACCCCAACATCAAGATCGCTGATGAAGACATTGAACAGCGCAGGGCCCAGGACCGAGCCCTGGGGGACTCCACTACCCACCTCCCCCCAAGTCGAATATGATCCATCCACCACCACCCTCTGAGTGCGACCCTTCAGCCAATCTGCAATCCATCTGACCGTGTAGGCGTCTATGCCACAGTCGCCTAGTTTATTAATTAGGATGGGGTGAGAGACGGTGTCAAAGGCCTTGCTGAAGTCCAGAAAGACTACATCCACCGCGACACCTGCGTCCATGGCCTTTGTGACCTGATCATAAAAGGCCATCAGGTTGGTCTGACATGATCTCCCCCTAATAAATCCATGCTGATTGCCCCTGAGCATCATTTCTGATGCCGGCCCATCACAAATGTGCTCCTTGATGATCTTCTCTAAGAGCTTCCCCAGGATTGAGGTAAGACCGACGGGCCTATAATTGCCCGGGTCCTCCCTTTTCCCTTTTTTGAAGATGGGGACCACATTAGCTACCTTCCAATCGTCTGGCACCTGGCCCAAGCACCACGATCGCTCGTAGAGCCGTGCCAGGGGCCCTGCAATAACCCCAGCCAGCTCCCTCAGCACCCTGGGGTGGAGAGCATCCGGACCCGCTGACTTGAACGCGTCCAGTTGAACGTTTCAACTCAGATATACAGTGCAGAATCAGTTTTGGCATGTCAGAAAATCTTAGGGTCAGTATTGTTATTTAGACCTGATGAAGAATGGCTTGTATTCAAATTCTTGTCTAACTTTATCCCAACTATATAGTTAGTCCAATAAAATATTTCACCTTAAGAAATTCTTGCCCCTGGGATTATTATGGTTATTTAGACCATTTTGCATGTGAATGCTGCTTTGTACAGCAGGTAACCATGTTCAGGAAGGCTAAGGGTGTAAGCTGGTAAAGAGAGTACAATATGGGAACAACTGGGGTGATCACTGCAGGTGGGATGCATCATGAATTAACTCTGAAGCAACAGTGTCCACTTTGGAAGAAACATACTGGACGTGTCTAAATGGGAGATTTACTGCGCAGTTGACTAATTAGCTGCATAGGAAATGTCTTGGTATCTTAGGCCAAAGGAAATGAATTTACTCTGCAGCAGGATAGTACTTGTAAATATGCACATGCACACACACTAAAACTGGTACAAACTTACCTTTTTGGTTTTATTAACTTACTTAACAACAAAACATAAGAAACGGCCAAATTCAGGAAAATATTTAGGCTGAGGTTTGAGGTTCAGGGTCTTTCCATGAAGGAACCCATCTATCTCTGCCCCTTTTCTCTGCCACAATGGGCATTTATACACATGCTCCGGGACTTGGGGGGTCGGGGGGATGCTTTAATTAGAGTGGCTCTTGGAGCTGATCTAATCATGAACATCGCATGCCCCTGGAGGCTGGGGGGGCATGGTGAGCTCCCGCAGGCAGCGACAGCACTGGCAGTGGTGGGAACATGGTGACAGCAAGCAGGAAGCACCCGCAGGCAGCTGCGGTGCTGTCAGTGTTGGGGTGGCAACCGGCAGCCAGTGACCACCTGCAGACGCTGCTGGCAGCATTGGCAGTGGCCAGCAGCAATCACAGACCACCCACAGATGCCGCCAGTGGTGTTGGCAGCAAGGGGGGGCGGGTGGCAAGTGGCAACCGCCTGCAGGTGCCACTAGCAGTGTTGGGGGCACCTTTTCGCAAGGCGTGCACCGTCACGCTCAGGGGGTGCATGTGCACCTGCGTGCACCCCCTACATGTCACAATGGATCTAATTAAAGTGCCTGAAGCGCCTTGTGTATCAGCATCTCCTTGCTTAAAAATGGTGGCGGGGGCACTTTAACTAAAGCTCATCGAATGAGCTTTAGTTAAAAGCACCCCCTCCATCATTTTTAAGCACAGGGACACTGATACACAAGATGCAGGAGTCTGCTGGAGCAGGGTAATTACCATGCTCCAGCAGACTCGATTAATTGAGTCTGCTTCAACACGCTGTAATTACAGAACATCAAAGCAGCCTCACTGCTTGTGTATAGGCACCCATTGATTCCCAAACCTGTTTTATGCTACTGGTGTAGATCTAATAGGACCTTTCTGGTTTGACATGACAGTAAAGCAGCAGAAGTAAATCAGCTCTACATCACTATGCTGGGTCCTATATTTTGGCACCTTGTCATAAAAATGTTTTAAGTAATTCTGTAAAAGGTCGCAGTGCAAGCTTTAATCCTGTTACAGTCACTGCTGAATTGGCAGCAGCTTTTGACTGCTAAAGCTTGAATTGCAGAGTTTTCAAGGAGAGAGTAAGTGTTGCTGAGCAGCAGCCCCTGCCTCCCTGGCTGCAGCCAGAGCCAAGCACAAAGCCAGCCCACAGCAGCCATTCCAGTGTCCCTATGTCTCCAAGCTGGCACAGAAGTCATCTTCCTTGCTTAAAGCACAGACCCCAATTTTAGATGGTTAATTTTTGGGGAAAAGGTGTATATGGTATATGACTAAATACATTTATCTATTTGCCAAACTAATATACACTTTTAAACACATTTAAAGGAAAAGGTGCAAATTTAAACCCACCTGCCTAGGTTGCTTTTGTCTCCAACCACATTGTTGGTTTCCACACTGATGCTATCACAAGACCTACTCATCATCCCAGCATCTGCATTTTCCAAATCAGTCCTGCACAGCAAATTTTCTGAATGAGACATTCTTTGAGACAAGACAAAGTGTTCATGTTGAACTGCATATGTGGCATTCATTTGATCTGTTTCCAAAAATTTGCTTTCTTCTCAGATGGAAGGAGACCGAAGAAAAGATAGAAGGAAAAGAAGGGTAGAAGGATGTCAAAGATTTTATGTCCAAAATTGCTCTCAGTTTGCCTTTTTCAACATAACAGACTTACAAAATATCTGGCATTATACATATTAAACTTGTTTTGATACCCTAAGATCATCTATGCATTATGGTGGGGAAAAAGATGTTCTTTCATTTTCTTTCATAGGAAGTATCATGATGGTTTTCATTTGGGTTTGAATTCCATTCATATGGGCTTCAGTACAAATTCACTCTCTACAGAGGGAATCGCAGTGCTTGGCCCCAGCAAACCAGAATATCTCTCAGAGGCTGTGTTTACATGAATGGCAGACTGTGCAGTTGTTAAATGACTACGTAGTAACCAGTGTTACTGCACAGTACCATCTCCACAGTTTTTTCCGATGCTACTGCACAGTATCTCATTACTACTGCAGAGTAGTGTCGCATCACAGTTAGTGCCCAGCAATGCTACTGCATGGTAGCCACAAGCTACTGCGCAATAGCTCGTTGCTACTGCACAGTATCTCATTACTACTGCAGAGTAGTGTCGCATCACAGTTAGTGCCCAGCAATGCTACTGCATGGTAGCCACAAGCTACTGCGCAATAGCTCGTTGCTACTGCACAGTAGCGTCTCGTGTAGATGCTCCCAGAAACGTGCAGTTTAAGATCAGGAAGCGGAACTCAAATGGAAAAATTCTGTCTCTAGAGGACTGAATTGACTGTAACCAGAGAACCCTCATTTGTTTCATAAATCACTAGTCCAATACACATGTATCTAAGGAGATCTGAGCACTTCCGATAATCCTTCTACAACTCAGAGAGGAAGCAAGAAGCCGAGTCTTAGCCCTGAGCATTTTGTGCAAGTGAAGTAAGGGCTATATTAAGACAGTACATAACCTGTAATTTTCCACTTCCAAGTTAAACTACCAATTCTTTTTAGACTATTATATATTGTGGACTGAAAGAAAAGAATCTGCAACTCTATCCCATGGAAGGTCCTTGGATAAACTAAAGCTAACTGAGTCAATGTTAATCTGTTCAGGTTTTTGCTCACCAGGTAGGAATACTTTGGGGAGAGGCTGGCAATTAGGACTAATCTAATGCACAGTAAAGCAACACCATCTATACATGCGTGGGACTTGTTGTGCAGTAAATTATGCTAACTCACTGTTTGCTAGTACCAGGAAATACAAATTAAATACTAGATTAATGGCACATTAGCTACTGTGTAGTAGTACCCATGTAGATGCTGATTGAGAGCAATTTGCTCCCAGTCAGCTCAGGCAGCAGGGGTCCTGCTGCTGACTGGCTAAGTCCTGATGCTGCGGGGAGATATGCCAGCTGCAGGGACAGCTGTCTCCCCTCCACGTGGGGATCAGGACCCATCCTGATCCCCATGGGCCGGTAGTGCTCTCCCAGCAGCAATGACTGCTGCATCCCACCCACATGGAAATCAGGTCAGGACCCAATGCATGTGACCAAGAGAGCTGTCCCTGCTCAGTGGGGACGCTGCCCGCCAGTCGTATAGGGATTCGGATCTCCATGTGGCTGACAGGCAGCATCCCTGCTGAGTGAGGACAGCTCTCCTGGCCACATGGGAATCGGGACCAGCCCCTGTACCCCCTGCCAGCCCCAGGGCTGGCACCTGGGGAGGGGGCCTGGAGCTCGCCCTGGTTGCTGCAGGGGGGCAGAACAAGGCAGCAGCATCCCTGGACTCAGCTGCTCCTGTCAGGAGCAATTTGGTCCTGAGAGGCGAACATGTAGCCCCAGAGCACTTTATTACACCTAAATTTTCAGGGAAGAAAATTCATATGCATTATTTGCACATGTGGATGTGCCCATATAAAAGCAAAACAAGAGCTCTGCTGCCACAAGAAAGGGGCTTGCAAGGTAGGGGAGCTAAAAACTAATAAGGATTACCTGTCCTACTTAACATGCATGAGCATCTCTTCCAGAGTTCTCTTCCTATTAGATATTATTCTGAATGTAGCCCTCTGGAATAGTACTTTTTAATTTCATTACAACTAAGCCCCTTAAACTTAATGGATTTGGACAGAGACATTTTAAAGTATCTAAAGGGTTTGCTGGCCACGTTATTAGCACAACCTAAGAGTTACCATGGTGATAGCTAAGTAGGAGGTTGCCAGCAAGTTTGTGGAGATTTTGACTTATACTTCTGAACCAGGGAGCATTCTTATTGATTTGTGCATAAGGGATTCCACTAGTATGAAAATGCCAAGGAAAGAATTATGCCGGTAGTTAATATGGTTAAATTGTCAGTAAGGGTTCCTGCCAACTGCCTTAAAGGAACCATTCCCTTAGACCAGAATGACACACCAGTACTGAATCCCACAACCTGCAGTCACTCCCTCAAGCTAATGGCTGGCACAAGCCATAACAGTTTCTGTGGTATGAGGCACTTGTAACTAAGACTTGTGTTATAATTATACTGCCTCCTAATTCATTTTGCTCTCTTACATCTTGATTATAACAGTTTTCATTCTAAAATATTATTGCAAGTACATGTTGCCCAACAAACCAAACAGTCTGTTCTTGAGGCTTACTTATATGCTAGATCTCTGTTGCATGGAGTTAAATTAAGAATAGAAAGAACCTCAATAAAATAAGTGGTTGACAAGCATAAGCCTTGTTTTTACTGCTAGCACCTTTGTGTAAGGATTTCATGCTAGGGGCAAAAAAATTGTTTCCTGTAAAAGAATGTTCAAAATGCTAACCATTGCCCAAGAATCAGCATTTCCACAAGAGGTGGGGACAGGATGATCTAAGGGGCAGAATGCTGACTTGAAAGTCAGGACGCCTGGTTCTATTCCTAGCTCTGCCAAGGACTCTTGGATTTTTGTTTGCGGGTCATCTCTTATTTTCAGTTGCTACAGAACCATTTATTAGGCTTTCTTGGTTCAGAGATTAAATCCAGCCCAACACTGTTGGACACAGTAAGCCACACATTCAGTGGAATAGATCTGTGCTTTCCACCAGCAATAGATCTGATCAGTTGACCCCCAAAACCACCAACAAGGTTACTGCAGCACTGTGTAATAAAACTGTTTTCCTATTTATTTAGCTGTACGCCACTGATTACCAAAACACCTTACAGACTTTAATTAAGACTCCTTCAGGAAGAGAAATATTATTCTCCCTATTTTATAGATTGTAAGCTGAATCACAGTGAGATTAAACAATTGTATAAGAGCACCTGTGAGAGAGGATATAGAAGAACCAGCCACATCTACATGAGATGCTGACTGCGCAGGAGCCTGATATCACTGCACAGTAGCGTTGTGTGGCAAAACCTGTGATGTGACACTACTGTGCAGTAGTTCTGGGCTCCTGCACAGTCAGTGTCACAAAAAAGACCTTCATCAACACTACTGCACACTGCGCAGTAACTCGGGTTACTGTGCAGTCATTTAGTCCTTATTTATACAAGTACTAAGTGACTGCACAGTCAGCATTTCATGTAGACATGGCCACCACGTGGTAAACCTACAGCATATTTCATTTCCTTTAGCTTCCTTTGTGCCTCACATGATTGGTTGTGTGAGGGAAGGTATGTTCCTAGCTCACCTGATGAAGCTTGCCGAAGATGAAAGGAACTCATCCGTGCATTAAATTTGTGCTGAGCAGAGCAGAGGTGCAGCAAATATTTACAGGTCTTTGCCGTGTCAGTGATGAACTTGTGTTTTTTGAAACTGCTTTCAATCATGAACTTTTTTCTCTAGAGAGAACACAAAGGCACATGTTGGTTTATATTCCAAAAAGGACATTTTCTGACGAATATAAAGCTCCCCTATATAACTGTGCTCATTTTTCCAGATACATGCATGCATTGTACATGCGGTGATTCCCTTCACAAAGTTGATAGTAATGAATCAGATGTCTGGCATACGTATTTAGAACATATATGCCCTTCATTGAAATCAATGTGCTCTGGACACTGATTTCATTGGAACTGACAAGACTTGGACCTCTGAATGTTAACATAACACTCATAACATTTTAACCAATAGGATGCAAGTACCTTGAGGCAGGCAAGCTAGTGATGAGAAGAGAGAAGAGGGCTGAGTGATGAATGGCTGACATATTTCTGATCCAAGCAGAAGGGGACTGCAGTCCCAAATATAGCCGAGTCAGTGCACAAGAATTCTAATGGTAACCCTGAATTAGATGCGTTTATCAAATTCAGTCTGAATGGCTATAAAACCAAATGGAAAGCAAAGGGTTCTCTTGGTTCCCACTCACATGAGCTGAAATCCTCTCCATTTCCTGCCACTGGAACCTTAAGACGGCAATTCTTGTGTGGTTTTTCACATCATACACAATGATGCCTTTGGCACAGATTCCCAGGACAGTATCAACTCCTGCTGCCTTCTTCTCTTGGAACACATGATGGAATAGCACGCCATATTCAGGGAGCTGCTGAGTCACCTTTGCAGAGAGAGAGGTGGTGAGTTTACACAGCACTATGTATAATGTGTATTGCATAGAGCCCAATCCTCCTATCCTAGCACATGACCGGAAAGGAACAAAATCAAGTGGGAAAATATGTAGACTGCCAGAAGAGAGATAGGTAGCAGAAGACTTCTTTCCCACTGAGAGACATTGGAAACCCTCCCAAAATTCTAACCCCTGCTCTTCCGCTAAGCCAACTTCTGACCCTGGCAAATCATTGCACTGCTTTATGACTTGGTTTCTCACTAGGAATAGCACTTTCCAATCCAGTTCACAGGGAAAGCTGAGAGGAATATTTGTCTGTATTGTGCTGCAAATGTTATAGTGACACACAATTTCTCAGTATTACTGCCTCTTAAGACCATATAAATTTGTGGAGTAGACATCTGCTTGAAGTTGGTGCTACTTCATGAATGTTAACATGTTCCTTCCTATCTTTAGCTGTATGCTTTTGTTCCCATGCTCAAACCCAAACAATCTAACACACAGCAAATAAACTGATATTGCTAAAACTTTGGCATCAAAAGTATTAGATGCATATGCGGTTATAAAAAATCCCTGGAAATGTTACCTTCTAGAACACAATAGCTCTCTGCCTTCAACAAGCACTCTGAGGTACTGACCCACATTCCTTAATCTCTCTAATAAAAACACACATTACACGTTATTTGGCTGTCTGCGGGTTTCAGCTATGAGTTTTGCTAAATTATAATTAGAGCTCAAGTCTAAACATTACAGCAGCTTATGAGGGGGAATTTGGTTCCCTGCTAAGATGCCACCTGATTGCCAGTGACTGTTCAGTCCCATTCCCTTCAGGCACAACATTCAGCTTAAAGAGAGGGGAGAGCAGTGCTTCAAGAAACAGAAGAGACACTTTGCCTCTCAGACCCTAGTAGGAGTGCTCTTCTGCCTGGGATGTGTGCAGGCTGGAGAAGGGAGTGAGAAGTACCTATTATAGCCCATTCATTGTAGATAGCTCCCCACTCAGCAACTCTACCTTACAACCCTTACCATTTAGTGACAATGGGTGGAATTATATTTCCCTCTGCGCATCTAAAACTAAGTTTTCTAGATATCTACCTGGCCATTTTTGGCCCTCGCTTTAAACTGTGGCTGTTTAAGGCAGCATGCATAGAGCGAGGCACTGGTCAGGTACTTACATGACTACATTTGTGCATCCAAGAAAAAGTCCTGGAAAAAAGGGAAGGGAAAGGTCCTCCCATGTTTTTGCTCAATGGCTTAAGGCACTCACCAAGTTCTAGGTCTCCATCACTTACAGGGGGTTTGCAGCTGTGCTTCTATGACTTTCCAGCTGGGAACCATCAGGCCACAGGTCAGGCATCATCCCTTGTATTTAATAACAATTGGATATACAGTGGGGAAATTTTCATCCCATTGGGAGCAAGGGTCCAAGCTAAAATCCAGGGTGACCTTCATTGCAAAGCAAGCAGCCATCTCGCTGTATCACAAAGCCTCCTGACCTCATATATCATCCTCTCTTGGCCCAGAATGGGCACACATACATAGCTGCATATGTGTCCAGCCAGTGTGTAGTCTACTATGCATGTTCACCCTATATGTACACACTTTTGTGTCTACTTTGCAGGGGTAATAGAATCATTATCTGTGTGTAAATGGCATTTGTAGCACTTATGACACACAAAGGAAAGCAGAATTCTACCCAGTATGTCAAAAAATTATTTTCTGACCCAAATCTTTGTCCTTCAGAGGTTTGTGAGATACAGGGGATGATTTTTCAGTCATTCTGTGAGTTGCAGATCAAAATAAGGCTGAGTGCCTTACCTAATTCATTGTCCCTCAGAGGTTATCCAGGGCCTTAAGCTAAGTTTTTAAAAAATGACCAAAAGATTTGGGAGTGACCAAATGAAATCACTTTAAAGGAACCTGGTTTTTAGAAAGTGTTCAGGACCTGCCCTCTGAGAATCAGGCCTTGTTAAAGTTTCTCAAGTGAACACCAAACTTGAAGCACCTGGAACTACTAGCCAAATCCTGGTTGTGACATCAAAACTCCTTTCATATTTGAAAGGAAGAATTTGATTTTTCCTTGCTTCATGGATGTCCTTTTTCATGAACACGGTGTGTTCTTGTTTCTATAGATTTGTTCATTGAAAGAGAGGCTAACAAAGATGCTTTTCTTCATTTGATTTGCCATGCATGATAGGACTCTACACCCCAGTCTGTTGCAACAATTCCACTAACACAATTAAGCAGCAACTGGACTGAAATGATGACATAAATAAAAGCATGTGTAACTGGAACAAAATAGATAGTGATGTGCAGATACTCCCTGATCCTAGATGTTTCATGTTAAGATGAGGAAACAGAAATTACAAAGGTAACTGACACCCAACAAAACAGCCATCTTAGAAAATGGATCTCCACTAAATAAATAGGTCAAGTAAGACATTTTAGATAACTCATTCTTCACACTTAGAATTCAGAAATAATTTTAAATGTTTAACAAATGAATAATAGATATTTAATAATGACTGATCAGTTGCTATGGAATCCAAAAGCTCATAGGTTGTTTATATCCATGTTTTATAACAATGTGGAATACCTTCTACTGATGTTGTTAAAACTATCTACAAGACATGCCATGTTGTCTGTAACATACTTAAACTATGTATCATGCTTGTATAAATTATTTATATAACATAATGTGTGGTCCAAGTTTCCAGAGCAGCAGTACCCACTCCATGGCTAAATTGCAATTTTATTATATGCCCAAAGTTGGTCCCTCCTCTAAAATCCGCACAATTTCAGAAGATCAGCCTCAAACTTCATAGGTTCAGTGTACAGTCAAGGTCAAAGGTCTGCCCAAATCTAATACTTCATTAGGCTAGCACAATTAAACCATGCTTTTTTCTGTAGTCAATGACAAGCAAAGGATGCAATGTGGCCAGCATAATTTAGTCACTTTGAACTGCCAGCCTAAATTATCAGATATCCATTTATAACTGGGTCATCTGAGAGTGGCTTTGGCATACATTTAGAGCAGGGCTCAGACTGATCTGCCTGTTTCTCTGCCACTGTGTCCCATTGGTTAGGCCTACAGCAGAATTTTTCTGCTAACTTTCCAGTTAATAAAATAAGAATGCCCTGAAATCTGACATCCTAAATATAGGGCCCAGCTCAAAAAATAATCCATGTTATTGGCACACTGTAGCAAAAAGACTAAAACGAATTTGAGCAAGGAGAAAATAGAATCCCCTCCCACTGCGGGCTTCCTCCCTGCCTCTTGCCCCCCAGGGCTCCCCCACTTCCCGTGGCCCCCGGGGTTCCCCCCCTTCCACCCCCTCACCTACCTGTAGCTGCCCATGCTGTCTGTCCCAAGGGAGCAGGCAAGGAAGGATTAACCTGCCTGCCCAGCCGCCATTGCCAGGCTGCTGCTCTTCTCAGGGCTGAGCGGGCTCAGAGAGCAACAGGGGAAGCATCCGGGCAGGCAGGTTAACCCTTCCCTGCCTGTTCTTCCAGGACAGACAGCAGGGGGGAAGCAGGGAGTGAGCAGGGATGCTGGGGAGGGGGGTGGGCAGTAGGTCCAATCCTGGCCAGTGAGGGAGGGGGCAGGTGGGGTGTTTGCACTAAGGTGTAGCCTAGAATGGCTTCACTTTAGTGCAACAGGGGCTGGGTAACACAGATTAGAAATAATCCTGCCCTGGAGCGGTGTAACTGACCCACCTAAGGATTGCTTAAAATTAGTTTCAGGTGTTAATGTGCAGACAATCCAGGCCTAAGAGCTCCAGGAGCTCCATGTAACAAGGCCCTTGCATACCTAATGGCAGTAACAGAATCTGGCCCCTAGTGTCCAGCACTGGTATTTACTTAATTAAGCTGTAAACACAAAAGTTACTCAAATTCTCCCATGTTCCAGAAGGATTATGGTGGATCCATGATCAAACCGGGTTGGCTCTCATTGTAAAAGAAGAACATTTATGGGAAAGAAACAAGGGTTAATTTAGTGACTGAGCATCATGCTTAATATCAGGTTCAGGTAAGAAGCAAAATTAGAAGACCAATATTCCTCACAGTATTTTCAATATGCAACCAAGAAGAAAGAACAGTGGGAGGGGAGAGGGTAGGAGGGTGTACTAGCAGCTTTAAGGGTTGTTTAGGTACCTTACTGTTGAGTTCTTCATAGAATCACAGATTCACAGAAGTTTAGGGCTGAAAGGGAGCTTGTGAGATCATCAGGTCCAACCCCCCTGCTCTGGGCAGGAAAGACTGCTGGGGTCAAATAACCCCAGCAAGGTGTGCATCCAGTCTCCTTTTGAAGATCTCCAGGGTAGGTGCTTGCACCACCCCTGCTGGGAGTCTATTCCAGAGTCTGGTCACATGAACCATGAAAAAGTTTTTCCTTATATCCAGTCTGAAACCTTCTTCTTGGAGTTTATGACTGGTCTCCCCCTGGGGCACTTTGGTGAATAGTTGTTCGTATAGCCCCTGATGCTCTCCCGATATATTTGTAAGCTGCCACCAAATCCCCCTGAAGTCTTCTCTTTTCTAGGCTGCCTTTCCTCATATGGCTTGCTCTTCAGCCCTAATCATAGAAATGAAGGGCTGGAAGGGACATCGAAAGATCATCAAGTCCAACCCCCCTGCTCTGGGCAGGAATACTGCTGAGATCAAATGATCCCAGCAAGGTGCTGACTTTTCTTCTAACTTCCTGTCAGCTCTCTTGAACTCTAAATGTCCTAGTTTTGCAATGATTGTTTTGTCTATGCCAATATCTTTTGAAAGACTGATATTCCTAAACTACAGGGATAGTCTCATCCCGAAAGCATCATAGTTCCATTATTCTGTCATTCTGTTGCCCTTGTTGTGGTATCAGATGGGCAATAAGAAAATGATAGGTGATGGGTAAACAGACAAGGACCTTCCACTACTAAAATAAATAAATAAATAAATAAATAAAATTTGCTATTTCATAGGATACCCTTAGAAACTCTAGTTCAGCTTCATCTTCAAAGAGGGAGCAGGTCATATGATGCAGTTTAGCAAGTTCTCGCTGTACATACACCAGGGTCATTTTCTCTATTCGGCTTGCAGGGATGTAGTCTTCTGCACGAAAATAGTTCTTCCCATGCATCTTCAGAAAGGAAGGAGAGAAACGAGAATGAAAATGGTTGGTTCCACAGGCAGTAGGATTGAAAATATGGTTTGCGCCGAAGTTAAAGAGCTGTTGAATGTAAAGTGTTGATCTAGAATGTGAAGACTGTGAGGCAACAAGTTGGCTTTTATTCCTGGGGGTGCATTAGAGGGGACAGGGTGTGGAGCCAATAAGAGCAATAGAGACACTCCAAGGCATTCAGCTGGAAGAAGACAAATGAAGGCTGATTTCCTCCTGGGAGAATGAAAAGAAAAGCTTTTCAGATCCACTGTACAAATGTGCAGCACTCCCTATAGGCCTGCTTTTGGGTGCCAGCTCATTTACAGTAAAGGGGCTCCAAATTTATTCTTCTTGGAGCACCAGTAGCCGTGCATTAGCTGGGCCTCAAGTTGTATTAATAAAACCAGCCCCATTCTGTACACCTCCCGTACAGGGACAGAGCATCGCCACCCTGCACTGCCGCCACCCTGCACCGCCGCCTCACAGGAGCAGGGCTGGGGCAGAGCGAGGGCAGTGGCACCCCTCTGCGGGCTGAGCAGGCGACACCCAGTCAGCTGGATGCTGAGGAAGAAGCCTGCATGCAGCCACCACGGCCACCATCCATCACCCTGTGGCACCGCTCTATGTGTGGCTGCCAAACCGCTCTCCCCCTCCAGCTCTGCAACCAGCTGCTGCTATCCAGCCCGACCTGCTCCTGGACCAGCCACCAGGGGTACGCTGCTCAAAAATGGTTGAAAACCCCTGCAGTAGTGTACTAGCACTGTCTGTACTGTGATGCATTACTGTGCAGTATTATTAGGCTACTGCGCAGTCAGTGTCTCAGTAGACACACCTACTGAAGACATGGCCTTTATAGCTACTTTTGTAGAGGAAAAACCATCATTTATTTCAATTTATGCATTGGAGATCAAGTTCAGAAATAAGATCACCCCCAAATATTTGCCTGTTTCTACAAACCCAAACAAAGAGTCTTTGTGGATTCAGAAATGTTCCCTTCACTTTTTCCAAGCCCCTCCATATTCCTGAGTTGCATACATGGCTGAAAATACCGTACTATAGAATTCAAGATTCCTGGATACCTACACAGGTAAGAAAGATGAAGAGTCTCACAAGAGGACCACTTTGTGAGATTTCCAGCCAAAATTGACAGGTACAAGAGTGCTTTACACCCCAGCATACTTTCAGATTATCTAGTCTGAATCTGAAATGTGAACCTTAGTGGGCTTGCTTGCTCTACTAAGAGATATTTGCAGACATAAAATGTAGGTGCCATTTAACTCTCAACTTAACTGTAAGGAACTGAAAGCTTCCTGACCTGGTGGTGGGACCTGTAAGAATAGCTATGTACCTCACTGTATATTTACTGTACCTCAGGAGAATAATTTCCAAATTCTGCCTGTAATGCTAAAGCACCTAGCTGCAGGATAATCTCATCATTGCAGTACAATCGCTCATCCAGAATATCTTTACGAAGCTGCAGGTAGAACTGATGCTGTGTCAGACTGTGCCTGGAATACATGAAAGGTTAAGAATGAGATAAGAGATTTGAAATCTCAATTTACCATATTTACTCAAATCTAAGATGAGGTTTGTCCGAAACAGCACAGAGGGAAAAGCCCCTTATCTTAGATTTGCACATAAAGGGTGGCCCTGAACATGGGTCAGAGTCAGACTAAGACCCACAACAGCCGCCTGCCCCCTCCCCTGCATTTGCCGTCTGCAGCTTCTGCCCCTGCTTCTTCCTTCCCCCTGCTTACTGTCAGGCATAGCTCAGCTCTGGCTCGGGCTGGACTCTCTCCTGAGTACTAAGCACAGGAAAACTCCATACCCTGCCCAAACAATCAACAGTACAGAAACTGCTGAGTGGCTGTTCCAATGGCCCCAGGAGAGTAGAGTCCAAGCAGCATCTGAGAGTAAGGGGCAGAGGGAAGGGAAGAAACAGTGGGGAGTGGGAGGGAAGGGGCAGAGATTGTGAAGAGTGGGTTGAGGGAAGGTAGAGACTTTGAGGAATAGGTGGGAAGGAGCACAGATTGTGGGGAGTGGAGGGAGAGGCAGAGCCTGTAGGTGAGTGCAAGTGGCAAAAGGGCAGGAAGGCTGCAGGGGAGAGAAGTGGCAGGCAGAAGGCAAGGGGGTCACCTGACACCCCCCCCAAACTACTGGTTTTCTGCTGTAGCAGTGGGAAGGAGGGGGAATTTAAGACATCCCTCCAATAATTAGATTCTATACCCAGAAAATTGAACTAATTTATAATTTTTCCATATATAGAATCTAATTATTGGTGGCCATCCTAAATTCAAGTGGTTAGATTTGGGTAAATACAGTATATACCACCTTCCTCTCTGGTGGTAGACAGAACCATAGCACTTACTGGATAACACTAAAGTGGCTGACAAAGAATTTTATCCTCAGAAAGAGAGTGAAGTTAATGATAGAAGTTTTTCTCTTGGGTTGGTCATTCCAGCCTTCTGGAGCCGTTTTGTAGATCTTGGTCTCATCATCCAGAAAGAAAAACTCTTTACCTGAAATCAGAAGTTCAGTTTCTGTGATGAGTTAAGCAGAAGGAGACTATTCAATAACTCAAAGTCCAGAAAGGGCAAGAAAAGGCCCAGTTGACAACAGATCACATTTTTGAGAGCTCTTTTTCTAGGCACAGAATATTTAATGCTAATTCAATCTTGAAAATAGGCAGGAAAAATCTCTGTACAGCCAGTATGATGCTACATTGAGCTTACCCCTTATGTGAGTGCTCAAGAGGTAGGGAGATCATAAAGGGATTAATGCACTGCACACAATTGCAGTCTTTGTGCTTTGAGCACAAGAACCACTATCAGTCATGCCTTATGGTTGCTAGCTACATCAAACAGACCAGGGAGCAAGAATGGCCTTTTAAAGGGGAGAAGCTGGGATCACACTTCTTCTCCACATTTAAAAGCTTGGGATATCATTTGGCCTGCCAGAAACACAGCCTTCCTGTAACTCCAGCTGCAGTAATGTGGCTCTACATTGTTCTAACACGAGGCCGTGCCTAAGGCCTTGTCTACACGAGGATATCAGTCACTGGTATAGTTGTACTGGTACAGAGCTCTAGTGTAGACCTACTTCATATCTGTACAGCATGATTTGTATTAATGTGGCTTACTACTGCTTGAAACAGAGCCTCAAAACTGCATTCCATCTGAGAATCTCAAAGGGTTATACCACCACCTACCACCACCGTACAGTCACAAGAGGTCATGTAGTAATTAGATATGTCCTGGTACCTTTCAAGTAAGCTAAGCCGAAGTAGAAGTGTTCCGGTAGATTTGTATATGCCATGACCATACTGAAGATATCTCTTGCCTTAGACTTGATGTCACATTTGACCTCTAGGCACTGCCCATTGAGCAGAATGATGCTGAGATCCCTTTGAGACATATAGGATTTTCCCTTCTTAGTCTGCAAAAATGAAATGGAAAATGCAGGATGAGTTCCAGGTTCATGCAGAAATTCCTGAATTCCTTGTCTTTAGATCTCCTGCGCTCCTGGCCTCGCAGGGGATCAGTCACACGCATTTGTGCTAGGCAGTCCAGCCTTCATTATGTACATTTCAAACTTGTACAAAGAACACAAGAACTGTCATAATGAGTCATACATGGATTTGTGTAGTCCCCTTTTGAATCTGCCTATCCTATCTGCCTCAGTACCACAGCAAAGGCAGCGCCAGTGGTGCACCAACAGTGAGTGCCTTTGTATGAAGAATGCTAAATCAAAAACGAGTATGTTACATAGTAGCGCATAGGGGGATGCTCTGCATATGACCTGTGCTGGACACCAAAATGCCTGAGTGTCTACAGCTCTAATCTGCCTCTACAGCCTCTTGTGGCAATGAGTTCCATAAGTTACACATTACATATAAGATACTTTCTCTTGCTAGTTTTAAATCCATCTCCTGGTCCTTTCAGTGGGTGCCCCCTAGTTCTAGTATTCTGGGACTTGGTGAATAACAATTCCCTGTTTGCTTTGTCCATACATTCATGATTTAATAAATGTCCATCATATCACACCTCAGCCTTCTTTCTAAACTGAAGAGTCCTAGCCTTTTTAGTCCCTCATGGAGCAGCTGCCATACCATATTCCTAAGCATCTTGGTTGCCCTTTTCTGAACCTTTTCTAATTCTACTAAATCCTTTTTGAGATGTGGAGACCAGAACTTCACACAGAATTCAAGACGTTGACACACTGTGGATTTGTAGAGTGTCATGAGGATAGTTGCTGTTACCCAACATTTTATTGGCTTTTTTGATTGCCACTGCACGTTATATTTTTAGAGACCTATCTACAGTCACTCCAAGGTTTATTCCCTGTGACATAATTAATTCAGAACCCAGTATTGCATACATATATAATTGAGGTTATTTTTCCCCAGGTGGTTTACCTTGCACTTGTTGATGTTGATGCTTATCTGCCGGTTTTTTTGCCCACTCAGGTTTGTGAGCTCTTTCTGCAGCTGTTCTTCATCAACTTGGTATTTGACTACCCAGAATAATTTGGTATCATCTGTAGACTAGGAGATTTCAATGTGCACTCCCATTTCCAAGTCATTCATGAAGATGCTGAACAAAACTGAGCCCAGCACAGATCCGTGCAAGGTCCCTCTTTTGACCCCCCCACCCCACTCCACTCCCATCCAGAATAGTGGCCACTTAACCCTAACCCTTGCTTCCTACCTTTTAATCAGCTCTCAATCCATGAAAAAACCTTCCCTCCAATTCTGTGGCAACTCAGTTTCTTTAAAGGCCTTTAGTGAGGGATGCTGTCAAAAGCTTTTTGAAAATCAAATAAATTATGTCAACTGGATCCCCTTTGTCCGTATGGTTGTTAACACCCCCAAAGAACTCCAGAAGATAGGTGAGGCAGGATTTCCATTTACAAAAACCATGCTGACTCTTTTCCAGCATATCATATTTGTCCATAACTGCTTATTTTATTCTTTATTCTAGGTTCTACCAACTTGCGAGAGATGAAAGCAAGACTCACCGAATCACCTCTGGAGCCCTTTCTGAAGATGATTGTTATGTTGGCAACAGAGACTGTTTGTAACAACAGGTTACCTATTATTGCCAACAGTCCTGCAATTTCACCTTTGATTTCCTTCAGAAGTCTCAGGTGAATGCTAGCCAGTCCTGGTGACATTTTAGTATGTTTGTATCAATTCTATTCTCACTTCAGTGTGCTCCAATTCTTCAGACCCATTTACTAAGAACTTATCTGGTGTGACATTTCCCCCAGTATCTTCTGCAGTAAAAACCAAAACAAATAATTAATACAGATCTCTGCTATGGCTCTATTATCCCTGAGTGGACCTTTTATACTTTGGTTGTCTAATGCTCCCACTGGTTCTCTCACTAGCTTTTTCTCAAATTCTTTTTTGGCTGGCCTTATTTTGCTTTTGCACTGGACCTGCCAGATTTTGTATGCTTTCCTGTTTTCCTCATTTAGAGCTGCCTTCCATTTTTTGCAGGACAACTTTTTTTGCCTTGGGTAGCCTCTCAAACTGCTATTAGATCAGGCAGGGGTGTTACTGGACTGCTTAGTACCCTTTTTTTATTTCCATTATACACTTTTCCTGTACCTCTTATATGGTATTTTTAAACAGCTTCCAGGCTTCCGGCAGACATTTTATGTCTTTGCTCCTTTTAACTTCTAACTTCCTCATTTTTGCGTAAGTTCTCTTTCTATAGTTGTATGTCAGCGTGGTAGATTTTTTTGGCTTACTACCTCCTGCTAGCATGTTGAATGTGATTATGTTATGCTCACTGTTGCAGAATGGCTCACCTACAGTTACCTCTTAAACCAAGTCCTGTGCACTCCTCAGAATTAGGTCTAGAATTGCTTCTTTTATTGTGGGTTCCAAGGCATATTGTCCTAGAAAGCATTACATCCAGAAATTTTATCTCTGCATCTCACTCTGAGGTGTTTATCCAGTCTAGGTAAGGATAGCTAAAGTCTCCCATTATTACTGCATGTCCTACTTTTGCAGCTTTTATAATCTCCGTAAGCATTTCAGAATCACCTTCACCCCTAGATCAGGTGGTTGGTAGTACAATCCTAATACTGGGTGTGTCTACACATGCAATTAGTACATAGCAATAAACTCCAGCTCAGTTCACGCCAGTTTATTACTCCCAGGAGCAATGTTTATAGATGCACCTGGGACCACAGCATGTTGATCCACGTCAAAGCAGCCCTGGCTGGCAGGGGACCCAGGTTCAGCCTGAAAGCCCAGAGTTGGTCCACTCTGGCTCAACGTGCTGCAGAGGTGTTGGCTGGGGCACAAGGGTGCTTTAGTGCAGGGCTAGCCATCAGGCAGCCCCCACACTGTAGCAACCTCCACCCCAGCCAGCCCTGGTCACCATCTAAATGTGAGTTTCAGCACACTGAATAACTCTGCTGTAAGATAATACTTGTCCAAAACAATACTATCCTATAGCAGATTTAATTAATTTACTGTGTCCTAATAGGGGGGCACATGTAAACAGGGATGCTTTACTGCAGAACTAATTAAGTCAACTCTGCGGTACAGTACAGATGTAAATACATCCACTATGTTCCTTTTTATTTAAGTACAGAGTTTCTATAGTAATTCTATGGTAGTTTCTCTTCTGGATAAGATTTTTATGTTGTTACTGTCTATCCTATCCTTAAAAGGCAGTGCCCGTCTCCCACCTGCATGTCCTACTCTGCCATTCCTGTATAGTTTATAAGCCAGTATAACAATACCGCATTGATTATCATCCTTCCACCAGGTCTTTGAGATGCTTATTATATCAAAGTCATGATTTAATACTAGGCATTTTAATTTACCCATCTTATATTTAGGTTTCTAATATTTTTGTAGAAGCACTTACACATTTTTTCCTTACTCAGTTGCCTGTTACTGCATGTATTATTTGACTGGAACTCTAAATATTGTGACTTATCCTCGCCATTGTCTATAGTTACTCTTCCTACTCCCCTACTATCCTCTTGAAGACGGTGTAAAATTTGAATGATATCCCCCTTTGGGGGATAACTGAGTTGGGGGAAGAGTTGAGCAGCTGCCAGTGGTAAAAGAACAGGTGAGGGCAGGGGTGGGAAAAATATGGCCCATGGGTCAGATCCAGCTTGCCAAGGAATTTCATCTGCCTGCAGGCACCCACCTACTATTTGTACCCCACCCAGCCTGTGCACCTTGCTCCCTCATGCATAGAAGGGCCTGGCCCAGTCAGCACACAGCTTCTGGGTGGGACTGCTGTTGTCACTGCTGCAGCCTCCAGTGGACCCGCTTGGCTTCCCCACCATCCAATGCCTCCTCCTTATTTCCCTGCTGCAGCACTCTCTCTGGGCAGCAAGAAGGGAAGCGGTGTGGGGGAGGGTGAGCTGCAACTGGGTGGGAACATGGAGTGTGGGGCTGGCCGGAGTGCGAAGCCCACACCCAGAGGGAGTGGTGGGAGCACAGAGCTTGGGTGGTCAGGCTGTGGATGTGAGGGATGGGGGGAGCAGGGGTGTGGGCACAGCACATGTGGCACAGCTGCGCTGGCAGCGGTGGGAGTGCAGCGGCGACAGCAGCAGGAGCCCAGCGGCAGTAAGCACAGAGCTCCCACAGACACCACCGGCACTGTTGGCAGCAAGGTGGCGGAGGGTGGTGAGTGCCAACCAGGGGTCGGCAAGCACCCACAGGCGCTGCCAGCAGCGGCGGCCAGCAGCAATCGTGGACCACCCACAGATGTTGCTGGTGGTGTCAGTGGCAGGGTGGCGAGTAGCGACCGCCTGCAGGCGCTGCTGACAGTGTGGGTGGTGCCTTTTTGCAGGGGGTGCACCGCCATGCTCAGGGGGTGCACATGCATCCCCTACACCTCCCCCCTCGCAGCAACAGTATGCGGCAGGCCCTCAAGGCACTCATGGCCCACACAGGCAGTGCCACCTGATGGCACACAGCTCCAAACAGAACTGCACGTGGAGGCAAGGGCACAGCAAACCCAGCCCGCCTCTTGTGTGTGGCTCCTTGCAGTGCACATGTAGCTCCCAGCACTCATATGCCACAGGCAGGGAATTGCTGTGTGATGAAGCCAGCTACCTTCACTGCTCCCTCTCATGCATGTCTTGAGGACTCCACAGGGAAGCAGGGTGTGGTGCTCCCCTCCACTTCTGGCAGAGTCCCAGGACCTGCATGGCAGGTGGAGGAAAAGGCAGCCAGCTCCATCATACAGGGCTTCCCCCACAGTGGCTCATGAGTGCATGGACATCACAGGGAGCCCTGTGCAATAGAGATAGGCTGGCCTTGCTGTGCTTCTTGCCACCACATTCAGCTCTGGCTGGAGCCCCATGCTGCTGGGCCGCTGCTGCTGCTGCCACCAGCAGGGGCTGTACGCCATGGGAGGGAGTGTGTGGGGGGCTGTGCACCATACCTCGCACCCTCCCTCACACCCCACAAACCCCACATACCCCACATACCCACACCCTACCTCTACAACCCCCCCATATATACACCCCCAACATACGCTAAGCCCCCCCACACACAGCCACACCCCCTCACAACTCTCCCACATACACACACCCCACCCCAACCACACACCCCACCCCCATACACAATATACAAGAGTAAGACTTTATTTTTGCATAATTATGCAATCATATCTATATATAATACGCAAACACAAATCATGACAAAAATATTTTTTGTAATAAAATTAAAATATGTTATAGTAGGTATTTGACTTTTAGTATATGATTTGTTTTTTTTCTGGTTCCAAGATGGCAGCCCTCTCCTCCCAAAAGGAGTACTTCTGGGGGCAAGGGGAGGGACTTCCTTTGGCAAAGGTCAGGGGTTACAGGTGTGACTTCCAGTCCCAAGATGGCAACCAGGGAATGGGGCACCTGTCAAGGGGCAGGGCTACCTTACAGCCATTGACAGCTCAGCAAAACTCATTAAGCAGCCCTTCAGCTGAAATTATTGCCCGCTCTTGCATTAGGGACTATGTAGAAAAGTTCAATGTGTACAAGTCCATGGGACTGGAAGTGATGCACCTGAGAGTGTTGAGTTGGCTGATGTGAATGCAAAGCCACTGGCCATTATCTCTGAGAACCTATGGGGATCAGGAGAGGTCCCAGATAATTGGAAAAGGATAAGTATAGTGCCCATCTTTAAGAAAGGGAAGAAGGAGGACCTGAGGAACTACAGACCAGTCAGCCTCACCTCAGTTCCTGGAAAATCATGGAGCAGATCCTCAAGGAATCCATTCCAAGCACTTGCAGAAGAATGGGATTAGGAACAGTTAGAATGGATTCACCAAGGGCAAGTCATGCCTGACCAACCTGGTTGCCTTCTATGGTGAGATGACTGGCTCTCTGGATGGTGGAAGATCAGTGGACATAATATACCTTGAATTAGCAAGGCTTTTGATGTGGTCTCCCACAGCATTCTCCCAAGCAAGTTAAAGAAATACGGGTTGGTTGGATGAATGGATTATAAGGAAGATGGGAAACTGGCTGGATCATCAGGCTCAAAGGGTAGTAATCAATGTCTCAATATCTAGTTAACAGTTGGTATCAAGTGGAATGCCCCAGGGGTCAGTCCTGGGGCCAGTTTTGTTCACTATCTTCATCAATGGATCTGGAAGATGGGATGGAGTGCACCCTTAGCCACTGTGTGGATTACAAAAAGCTGGGAGGAGTAGTAGATACGCTGGAGGGTATGGCTAGGATTCAGAGAGACCTAGACAAATTGGAGGATTGAACCAAAAGGAATTTCAGGAGATTCAGTAAGGAGAAGTGTAAAGTCCTGCACTTAGGACAGAACAATCCCATGCAGTGGTACAGCTGGGAACTGACTGCCTAAGCAGAAGCTCTGCAGAAAAGGACCTGGGGGTTACAGTGGACAATAGGCTGAATGAGCCAACAGTGTGCCTTTGTGCAAAGAAGGCTAATGGCATACTGGGCTGCATTGCTAGAAGTAGCTCAAGGGAAGTGATTGTTCCTCTCTATTTGGCACTGGTGAGGCCACATCTGGAGTACTGTGGTCAGTTTTGTATGCTCCCCCACTACAGAAAAGATGTAGACAAATTGGATGGAGTTCAACAGAGGGCAACGACAATGGTTAGAGGACTTGGGCACATACTTTATGAAGACATGCTGAGGAAACCGGGCTTATTTAGTCTGGAAAAGAGAAGACTGAGCAGGGATTTAGTAGCAGCCTTCAACTACCTGAAAAATGGTTCCAAAGAGGATGGAGCTAGACTGTTCTTAGTGGAGGCAGATGACAGAACAAGGAACAATGATCTCAAGTTGCAGCAAGGGAAGTTTAGGTTAGATATTAGAAAAAAACCTCTCCCTAGAAGGGTAGTAAAGCACTGGAACAAGCTACCCAGAAAGGTGACAGAATCTCCATTCTTAGAGGTTTTTAAGACCTGGCTAGACAGAGCCTTGGCTGGGATGATCTAGTTAGGGATGGTCCTGCTTTGAGCAAGGTGTTGGACTAGATGACCTCCTGAGGTCCATTCCAACCCTAACTTTCTATGATTCTATGACTTCTATGTACCAAGGTGTGGTGTTTATCTTTCCTTAGGTTCTGCCTTTGCAGGGCTCCATGGGTGGTGAGGCATGGATTCTGCCCAGGGAGTCAAAAAGTCAAAGAGTGGTTCTATAGAGCCAGATGGAGACTCAACTGAAGGATCACCAGATTGGTTCTAAATTTTTAATGTTCGTATTTACCACAATTGATCCAGGTAGATGCAAGGTCACTGGTGGTTCCCTGGAGAGAATGATAAATTCTGGACCTGAAAACTTCAAGAAAGAAAGTCAGATAATTAATAAACTGTTTATGTTAATGTTTATCATATATTTATGTTATATTTATGCTATGTTTATGTTGTTATGGCTATGGTTATGCTTATGTTCATGTTATGTTTAAGTGATGGTTATGCTATGGTTATGTTGAAGTTATAGTTGCATTATGCATAAGTTTATGCTATGTTTGTGCTGTACTGAGCTATGATGTGTTTATGGTTATGGTATGCTAATGTTTCGTTGTGGTTATCGTAATGGTATAGTTATATTATGCTTAAGTTGATGGTACAGTGATGCATGCTATGGTCATGTTATGTTACGTTTGTGTTTCTGCTGTGTTTGTGCTTGTGCAATGTCCATCTAAGGGTTATGGTTATGTTTGTGGTTATGGTATGTTCATGCTATGCTATGTTTATGATTGTGTTAATGGTTATGCTAGTGTTATGCTATGTCTGTGTTAGGTGTTATGTTAGGTTATGGTTTATATTATAAATATAACCTAAGTGTAACATAGGTTTAGGTTATGGTCATGTTTATGCTTCTTGTCATGTCAAGTTTGTTTATGGTACGGTAAGTGCTAATGGAAAAAAAAGTAAAGTTCCCTGAAAAGGAAAACTAAAACAGAATCAGAATTTCCTAGCTCCACAGCAATTATTGCTAGCATCATCTGCTCTGATGTTATGCCAACAAAAATACCTACATTACAATATCAAAAGGGTGCGTGGGCGCGTGTGTGTGGATTTGTCATCGGTGAATGGAATTTCAATCCCAGAGAGTGATCTCTTAGCTACCCATTAGGCAAGTGAAATGCAAGCTTCCCTATATTGTCTCATCCTGTCTTGAAGGGACCACTGTTAAGGATGCATAGGAAGTGCATTTTGCATAATCCGTTTATTCTTTTGCTTCGGTGCTGGAATTGCCAAGAAAATATTATCATTCCCATTATACAGATTGGAAGACCACTACTCTAGGTCACACAAGTCCAAAGCAGACATAGAATCAGACCCAAGATCTCCTGCCAGTTGGCAATCATAACTAACCTTTGCTTTTTTTCCTGTAGGTGTATACTATAATAGGTGGACATTACACAAAGCCCATTAACGTCAACAAACAGCTATAAGCTTTGGATCAGGCCCCGTGCATATGTCATCGGTGCCTCCCCACCCTTGGTGTGCATTACTGGTTACAGAAAGTATAAGTGAAAACTCAACTTAGAAAGTTGGTCTTAAGCTTTCAGCCCTTCCGCCCTCATTCACTTCACATGTACATAAAGCTGCCTTTGACTTCAGTGAGCCTGCAAAGCTAAGCTTTTTATCACAAGTGGATCATGAAGCTTTTGTCTAAGGTGGCCCTTCTGATTACATGACTCAGTTGCCCAATTTGTACTTGCCCTTGGATGCTGACATCATTATGGGAGGGTCCTCATTAATAATATTTATACTTTTAAGCAATACACATATCTTCACAAGTCACCTTATATTTTCTTTTGAACAAACATCTCTGAGATGCAGCAGCTGCTGAGGAGTCCTTTGCAGACACAGAGAAGGTAGAATCTAAATTTATCAGGTTGTGCTTGCTATTCTTCTGAGTACTGGTAGGCTTTTCATCCATAGCACTGGCCGATCTTCAGGTGTTGCAGTGAGCAATAATGCAGGTTGTATATCCAAATCAACACAAAGTAAGGAGAGAAATTATTGGAGTGGCACTTTTGGAAGAAATCAGAGGGCAATCTCAGTTATCCATGTGATAGGCAGGTGCTGTAGAATTTAACAGGGATGAAACTAGCAAGGTTTTATAGAAAATCATTTAAAAGTCTAGGTAATTTAAAACAAGAATGGATTCCTTTCTATACTGTATGAGCTAGACCCTCTGCTGAGGTAAATCAGCATAGTTTCATTGAAGTCAATGAAACTATTATAGATTTATATCAGCTGAGCATCTGGATTCTTTTGAACTATCTTACAGAAAATTACCTCTCTTCTGTAGAATTCTATTACATTCTGCTAAACATTTTAAAAGTCAGGGCAAAGGGTAACATTCTTTAATATATTGTACAAGGTATTTCCAGAAAGTGAAATATTGAATTGGTTCAAATAGAAATTTGAGATAATAAAGGGGTTTTTTCAGTATAATTAACTGATGCTGAGAACTGTGGAAAATTGTATTTTACACAGTGGCTTTACCCCTTAAGATATTGATATTTATCAAATAGTCACGTGCACCCAGGAAAAATATCTGATACCTGCACACTTCCATATAGAAATAAATGATGGCATGGTGTGGGTACAAAGGTTTTGTTTACAGGAGTTTAGGTTAATTGTATTAGGGTTGGTGGGTCATCACTGCTTTTTTTTTTTTCCTTTTATCACTATGGGCACTGACAGACGTGGAGGGGAAAATGCGCTTTCCTGGAAGAAGCAGTGCGTTGGTTCTATCTGGCTCCGCAGCATCTGTATGGATCAGGAGCTTCAGGGAGGCAGGGCGTGCATTAATCTAATAGCTGATTCAATAAACTATTAGATAAAAAGTATCAAAACAGTCCTACTGAAGCACCCAATCTATACAGACGTTGGGTAAGCCTGGTTCAACACAGTGCCTGTTCTGGGCATGTGCTGGGCTCAGCTTGGGGGGGGTGCCCAGAGTTTCAAAAAAGCATTTGTTTGATTTTTTACATCTGTAAGCAGCATACATATTAAAGTAAAGATGGCAGCTTGTTATAAAAGTAGTTGCTGGGTAGAAAAGAATCATATCCAGGCAGCTAATAGGTGGAATAGAATCTGGTCCTAAACTATCTTGTATAGCCCTGGTAATTGTTATTAACTCTTGGACTTTTAATAGGAAGTTTATTCAGGGCATGTTTGATAAGGAATCCATCTAAATAGAACATAATCCATGGATTTGAATTAAGCAAGTCACAGAGCATAAACTCCTGTTTAACTGGGAAAGCACAGAGGAAAGGTGTATTTTTAAAAGGGAAATCTAATCTATGTTATGCTCAGAGGCTAATAGCACTTGGTTACAGCTGCATTATGCTAACCCCTTATTATAGACAATCCACAACCGAAATGATGATGCTCACTGTAGATAGATTAGCTGCAGTGGTGCAAATCTCAACCTTACCCTTGTCTGTCTGGGGTTGCTTTTTATACCCATGAATGAATAGATGCTAATCCCAGGTATAAACAAGCCCTTAGCACTCTTCTTGGGTGGCATCCCTAAACTACCTATAACTCTTTTCTGAGCCAAGGGGGGGATTAGAAATGAAAGAAGTAAATCTGAGAAGCTAGGGAGAAACAAAAAATTATGCTGAAATCGGGTACTGCAAACAGTGCTTGTCACAGCCCTTCTTTGATTAAATCACACTTTGTCTATAGTTGATTAGTTCATGATCCAGAACGAATCCCTTCAATCTAAGCTCATTTTCACCAACTGAAGGCAATGAGAAGTTTCACCTGAGACTGTACTAAGAACGGGTGCAGTAACATTGGCAAGATTTGACTCTATGAGCATGTGTAGATGAAACAGGGGCCCCAAATTGAAGTGGTGGGTTTTAAAAAGCACCGTTTCGATTTAGGACTGATTAAACTCCCATGTCATGCACACACCCCACTGACTTACCTGCCTCTCTGGCGGGGAGGAGAGGGCAAGCTACCAGCTGGCAGAGGGGTCCTTGGGCTGCGGGCGGGGGTGCTTCCCTCCACAGCAGCAGTGGCTCCCCCCCCAGATGACACCCACCCGCAGGCACCCAGTTATGGGCGGTCCCAGGGGGCACCACAGCCATGGAGGGAAGCCCTGGGCCCCCGCACAGCTCAGGCAGGCAGGCAGGCTCCAGGCAAGGGGAAAAAAAGATCAGGCTTACTGCTTTTCTTGGATGGGGCCTGCCTTCCCAGGCTGCTGTAAGGCTGCCTGCAGGGCCTCCTGCAGAGCTGTGGAGCTGCACAGAGCCCAGTGCTTTGTTCCACAGCTGTAGGGGCAGCAAACTAAAACTCCTAGAAGCCATTTTAGTTTGCTGCATCCCAAGTCATTTAAGGCGCATTACGCCACCAAATTTCCTACAGTGGCTGGAATTAATGCACAATATGCCACTGAGGCATGCAAATACCAACACCATCAAAAGCAAAACTGGTCAGACCGCAGTTGGAGTACTGTGTCCAGTTCTGGGCACCACACTTCAGGAAGGATGTGGACAACATGGAGAGGGTCCAGAGGAGGGCCACTTGCATGATCAGTGGGCAGCAGGGCAGGCCCTACGAGGAGAGACTAAGGGACCTAAACCCATTCAGCCTCTATGAGAGAAGGCCATTTACAAACTAGTCAGGGGGGACCAGCAGGCATTGAGGGAGTCCCTGTTCCCCTGAGTACTACCAGGAGTGACAAGAAATAATGGTCACAAGCTGGCAGAGGGTAGATTCAGGCTAGATATCAGGAGGCGCTACTTCACTGTCAGGGCGGCTAGGATCTAGAACTAAATCTGTAATAAAAACCAGCTATTTTTAAGGAGAAAAACTAAGTTTACCTGTTATTGAAGAGTTTGTAGCCACTTTGTGTCCTCAAACCATTCAAGCATGGGTCCCATGACCTCTGTGCTGGTAGAGGTCTGCCTAAAAAAGGAAGTATTAAAATCATACTAACTGCAGCAGGTGCTTAGCATTAGATGTTTGGACAGTAACCAGGGTTGCCAACTGTCAGTGAATTTACTGGCTGTCAGTAAAAAAATTATGCAAAAAGGTCTTTCAGTAAAATCTGAAAAAAAAAAACTTTAGCTGTAAGCAAAAACACCAAGCAACTACAATTTGACTGAAGTTCTGGTAGACAGAGCAAAGCACTGCAACCTTGTGTTCAAGTGGGAGTGCAACACCCTACAAGAAGCATTTTCTCAGCTGTATGCTGATGCTGCTGTGTCCTAGCCCACTTGTGATACTTCTGGGTCATAGGTAGGCTTCTTTTCAGGTCCATGTCAGGATAGGGTAAAGCAGGGCTGGCAGGTATAAGGCTGGGGAATGGGCTTGGGTAGGGGTAGCATGGTGCAGGGTGTAGTCAGAGCCATCAGGGTATGAGGGTGAGAGGGTGGGGCTGGTGGGAGGGGGTAGCACAGTGTAAACCATCACTGCAGTCAAGCAAGGTGGCCAACCCAAGAATTTTTTTGTTTCTTTTTTTTTTTTACCACAAGCTTTTTAATGCCAACCAAACCTTTTTACTATGGTTGATATTAAATCCCTAAATTTGAGCCAAGCCTCCTAACTGGAGTCTCTCAGCAGCACAGAGCCAGGCAGAAAAGTTACATTTACATTATGGAAGACATATCGGTAAAAAGCATGTGTCAGTAAAAAGGTCTGAGTGTCAGTAAAGTTTGTAGATTGTCAGTAAAAAACAATCCTTGGGTTGACAACCCTGACAGTGACATCAAGGAAAAGATATGGAATGTTCTCTTCTGTGGTGCTCTCTTGCATGCTTGCTGGGTGCCCATAGTAAGTAACTACCTAGTAGGGCTGGCTGCATAGCTCACAGAGAGCTCTTGCAAACAAACATTCATGTCCTGAATGTCTATTCAAGGTATGGACACAAATATGTTTGGAGCCATTTGAAAAGGGAAATGGCAGATGGTAGATTCTGCTGCCCTTTCAAACCATTCCTCTTTTGAAGTGGCTCCAAACATATGTCTGCCTGTACCCTCAGTGTAGCTGTGTCCATAGCCCTTGTGATCACTACTTGTCAACAGGTAATCATGATTGGGGGACTGACTGTTAATGCGTATATCCCTATATTTGCATGCATATGTGGGTACTGTGTAAACTGGAGCCTTTCCTACTCATAAGATGTGTCTACATGTCACCCTACAGCAATATAGTGACATAGCAACCATGTGCATCTACACATCATCACCAGCTAGGTCACACACTCCCCAGGTATAGTTTGCCGCTAAGGCAACATAGCAGCAATATTTACCAGTGCACCGTGCACCACCCATACTGTGCCTTGCTTTAGTACTTCCAAAAAGAAGTACTAAAGCTTGGCGCCATAGCAACATCACTGTACAGTGATGTATAGATACACCCACTATGCATCTGATACTGCCCCCTTCTTTTCTGCTTAAGCTTTTTCCAGTCCTTCAAATAAATAACATAAGGACATATCAGCAATGCTTTGTGAGTGATTTTTTCAAATCCAAATAAGGCCTAAATAATTTTCACCCCTAGCTATCTCAAAAGCCAGTACAGGGGAAAAATCAGCTACACAGGGTGCATCTACACATGAAATTAGTGTGCCCGAATAAACTCTGGTGCAGTTCATGCCAGAGTTTATTGCTCCCACGTGCAGTGTTTACACATGCACCTGGGCCTGAAGCATGTTGATCTGGGGCAGTGCAGCCTGCCAGACCAGAGCTGCTCCACTCTAGCTCAACATGCTACAGAAGGGCTGGCTGGGGCATAAGGGTGCTACAGTGCAGGGCTAGTCAGCAAGAAGCTGCCACATTGTAGCACCCTCATGCCCAAGCCAGTCCTGGTCACTGTCCACATATGTGTTGCAGCTGAGTAAATAACTCTGCCATAGGCTAGTATTTGTGTTGGGCAGTAATGGCAGAGTAAATTAGTTTACTCTGGCCTAATAGCACTGTATGTGTAGACAGTGACATTTTACTGTGGAGTTAATTAGCTGTAACCCGGGCAGTACTCCAAGAGGTACCCCCTCTCCAATTGAAGGGATCAAAGCAGGCGCACAAGCACTGTGGAAGGTATAGGGACTCTCCTCCCCTTATAGAGCAGAGCCAGACCACCAATGGGGACTTAACCATATACCTTTTAATAAGAATAACAATACTGGGAACATAACCAGTATAAACCAGGGGGTATAGGGGACACTACAATGCCCCAAGGGGGCAGGATTCAACAAAGGTTAGACACTTACAATCAAAGACATATTTATCCAGTTGACAAAAGACAGGGTTAACCAAAATGTAAAACACAAACAGCAGAACAAACAATACTGGTTGGTGAAATATAAAAGGCACAAAATACAAAATGTCAAATGACAAGGAATATAGGGCCTAAGTACCTGGAGGGGGGAGAAAGGGGGAAAACATAATGGCCCCTTTCCACTGCAAGAAGATTTTCTCCCTGTTAGCTTACTCACCCCAAGTTACTTGAGCTGGGACTTGAATTCTGATCTCCCACGTGGTAGCTAGAAACTCTACCACACAGCCACCAGTGCTGGCACTACTTCAACCTGCTAGGCGTCTTTACCTTCCCAGAGCCCCAGCCTCATGTCGAGCTGCCTGGCCTCTTGCTGGAGGAGCTGGAAGCAGAACTGGGAAACTTTCGGGTCACTGCTCAGATCCTTGCTGGAGCTGGGGAGCCTCTCCTGCTGGCCACAGGTTCTCGTAGGCAATCCTGGAGCCCAGCAGGAGCCTCTCCTGCCAGTCACACACCACGCTGCTGAGGGTCCAACTGCTGCCTGCAGTTCCCACTCCTTCAGGCTCTTCTGGGGCAGCTGCTCCCACCCCACTGGCCCAGCTATTTGAAGCTCCTTCCTTGTGGTCCCTTGCTGGTCTCTCCCTTAAGTCAGTCACGCTGCCCCTTTTATCCCCCTCCAGGTGACCCAAGGGGCCAATCAGGGGACACGGAAGGTGAGTCTCTGGGGCCTGATTGGTGAGGAAAGGGAATCACAAGTCCTCCAAACATCTTTTACCCCTTCAAAACCCCTGGGCCAAATCATTACCAGATCGGTGAGGAAAGGGAACCCCAAGTCCTCCAATCATCTTTTGCCCTTTCAAAACCCCTGAGCTAAGTCACTGCCAGCTAGCCTGTCACATAGTCAACTCCACAGTTAAGCTCATGTGCAGATACCCCCATAAGAGCTCAGATCAGATGCAGAGTTAAGCTTCTCTCAGAATTCCAATATTAAAAACATGACACTGAGTTCTAGAACAATCACTAACTGAAACATTGTTTTAAAAGCCCTAAGAAATCTACAGCATACAGGCAGTCCTTGACTTACAACTTTTCGAGTTATGACCAATGGTACTTAAGATGTTTATAAATTGACACCCTCTTTTGACCTTCCAATGTGGGTTTCAACTTTATGACTCTGGATAGAGCTGCATCAAGCTGGTAAGTCTGGTGTGGTGGAAGGGGAGGGGGAGGAAAGGGGGCGGGAACAGATCTAGGCTCTCTGCGGTGAGGGAAAATACATTTTATTTTCTCAAACACCAACATCAGATCCTTGCTGGAGCTGGGGAGCCTGGTGTTATTGCAAAATCAGGTCCTTTGAATACTTGAAGAAGTGAGAAATAAGAGGCAGAGAGACATGATAGATTGGCAGAGCCACATCTTCACCTAATATAATGTGCTTCCACTAATGGTGACAGTGGCTACACTGAGCAAACAAGCTTACAACCAGTCCTGCTGCTTGGGAAGTAATAGGAGTAACAGCCCTATGAAGGGCTGCCATAAGGAAGAGGGAAATCACCTTCTGTCTCTGCTGCGGAGAGGAGGAAGTGAGCCAGTGGATCAAAGTTGCAGAAAAGTAAATTTAAATTAGATATCTGGAAAAGCTTCTTCACTGCTAGAATAGTGAGGTAGTGGAATAGGCTGCCTAGGAAAGTTGTGGACTCGCCATCACTAGAGGTGTTCAAGATGAAGTTGGATGTCCCCAGGGATGATCTCAGGTATATACCTATATTCTACTGTGGGTATTTTCCATGCTTCTGGGCTTTATGAGTTATCCCTTCCCCCACCCCCTTTCTGCTACATGTGCCAGGGTGTTTTTAAGCCTTCCTTAGAGGCATTGGGTGTTGGTTACAGCCAAAGTTGAGGACTTTGACTACCATGGTGCACCAGTACTCCTGCTGGGACCAAAGCAGGAGGCTCCTGGCTAGAGGGTCTTACCCCTCCCCTCAGAGTCACAGCAATCACCATATTTGGGGTCAGAAAGGAATTTTACCCCATGGTCAGATTGGTATGGACTGTGAGGGTTTTTTGTCTTCCTTTGTAGTCGGGGGTCATGGCCCTCTACCCAGAATTTCTTGAGCATATTTAAACGTTTTATAGAAGCAGGATGCTGTCTGTGGCAGGTTAGGGTGTTAGGTCTGCGTTGTGTCAGGGTTGACTGTAATTTTGTGTAGAGTTTAAATTATGGATTATATAGAATGGTTTAGAGATGGACAATCCTACCTCAGGCAGGGGGTTGGACTAGATGACCTCTGGAGGTCTCTTCCAGCCCTACTTCTCTATGGGTGCATCTACACATCACCCTACAGCACTGCTGAAAGCACCCAGCCAGGGGCTCCCAGGGCACATATCCCAGCATGCTTTGTAGGCTCCCCTCACTGCCTACAAACAGGTGAGAACACCCCAGGACACCAATCAGGGCTGATTGGCTGGTAGTCACAAAGGACCACATCCCAACTCCTAACAACACAGCCTCCCCTCAACTGTCAGGTTATAACAGGGGTGGGCAAAATACAGCCTGCAGGCTGGATCCAGCTCACCAGAAAATTTCATCTGCCCCGCAGGTGCCCACCAAATAATTGTACCCCATCTAGTCCTTCTGCCTGTGGGGGTGGAAGTGAGGTGCCCACATATATACCCAACATACCCTATTGTGCCTCACTCCCACCCTTGTACACAGAAGGGCCCAACCTAGCCAATATGCAGCTTCGGAGTGGGGCTGCTGCTACTACTTCTACAGCTGCCAGGGGACCTGCTTGGCTTCCCTGGTGACCCGTTTGCACGGGACACCAGGTAAGGAAATGGCAAAGGGCAGGGCTGGGGAGCCAGGGGGATCTGCAGCTGGGTGGGAGGGCAGAGCATGGGACTGGGGCTGGCAGCAGCATGAAGCCCGCACTCAGGGGGGCAGCGGGAGCACAGAGTTCGGGTGGGCAAGGTGTGGGTGTGAAGGAGGGTGAGCGGATGTGGGGAGCCCCCACACACTTCCCCCTATGGCACATAGCCCCCTCCAGTGGTGGCAGCAGCAGCAGCAGCAGCAGTCAGGGGCACTCAGGGTGCCCATGTCTGGCTCAGACACTGCCACCAGTGGCATGCAGCTCTGGCCAGTGCTGCACAGGGGGGCAACCAGGCTGGCCTGCCTCTATCATGTGGGGCTCCCAGTGGTGCACATGCAGCTCCCACACTTGCATGCCACAAGGGAATCCCCATGTGATGGAGCCAGCTGCCTTCACCACTCTCTGCCATGCAGGTCCCAGAACTCTACGGAGAAGCAGGGCTTGGGGCTCCCCTCCACTTTTGGTGGAGTCCCAGGACCTGCACAGCAGGGAGCAGCAAAGGCAGTCAGTTCCGTGGCTCAGCTTCTCCCAGTGGTGCACAAGTGCGGGAGCTGCATGTGCACCATGGAGAGCCCCACATGATAGAGGCAGGCCGGCCTGGCTGCAGTCCTCACCCCCATGTGCAGCACTGGCCAGAGCTGTGCAATGCCAGCAGCAGTGCCTGCACCAGGCATGAGCACCCTAAGTGCTCCCACCTGCTGCTGCTGCTGCCACCAGCAGGAGCAGTGCACCATAGCGGGGAGTGTGTGGGAAGTCCCCAAATCCCCCCACCCTCACACCCCACAAACCCCACACACCCACACCCTGCCCCCACAACACCCCCAGATATATACATACCTCCCATAGTACCTTATTGACCCTTCACACACAGCCACATCCCCTCACAACCCCCACAAACACCCCTACACCCCACCATACACCTCCCCTATACTGTGTAGGAGAATCTATCCCCCACAGCACTTAAGTTGGGTGTCTACATCTACAGCCCTGTGCAGGGTCTGCAGGCCCAGGATAGTCTGCACCACCTAAAGAGCATGGTTCCCCCTGCTTCCTTCCTCCTCCTTCCCCCACCAATGGCAGACCAGCCCTTTAGGTAGGGTCCAGGTCAAATGGCAGATGAGGGGGCTTCAGATTGGTGGAGTCAGAGGCAGGCAATATCTGTGTAGCAGGTGAATGGATTAGGCATCTCTGGAGACCACAGGGGCAGGCTTGTCAGTGTCCATTGGAGGGGAGGGGGGGATGGGTGGCACTAGGAATAGACCAGGGGAGGGCAGAGAAGCTGGTGGGTCACTTTTCCCCCACCAGCTCAGAGTGACAGGCCTGCCCCTTACAAAGCCCCATTATAGATAAGTGTAGTGTGAGCTCTACAAATATTATTAATGATACAACAATAATTTAAAACCTACCTCTTCTCAGTCCCCGGTTAGATAATATCAAAGAAGTACTTTCTGAAATCCCGTTCAAGTCACTATAATCCACAACAAGTTGTCTGTAATCCTCTGCAGACCGACTACAATTCATTAACCTGGAGCCTGCATCCAAACACAAAACAGCAGTCTACTAAATTGGATTTTGAATTTAAAACATGGAAGTCTGAGTGGTTGCTTAGCTATTATTTTGCCTTGGCTAATTTTTGTTCTCATCCTTTTTTTTGGTCATGAATATCGTTATTCTGACCTTGATGGCCTGTTACTTCTAAGAGGAAGCTTTTACGCAGAGAACCTGGGTAAGGCATTCACCATCCACTGGCAGAGCTGACTGCTCTCTCCTACTTCTTGGAATCCAACTTTGATACAATGTTTTTTGTGAGCCCCTTTGGACATGCCAGACAAAATACAGCAAGTCTAACATCCAAATAATTTTCTCCACAGTTTAGTTGACAATTGCCTAGAAGGTACAACTAGACAAGAAATAAGAATCTAGTCCCTGCCCCCAGCAGTGTTTCTGAATTTTACATTAGACAACCATATCTACAAGCCAGAAATACTGTCTTCTCACATACTCTCCCAGTGGTGCACAAGTGCGGGAGCTGCTTGTGCACCATGGAGAGCCCCACATGATAGAGGCAGGCCGGCCTGGCTGCAGTGGCTTGCTAGCCATATAAAAGGCTCGAGTGGTTTCCGCCCAAGTTGGAGGACTCCACAAACACCAGGAGGAGAAGACTTCACGTCTCGTGAAGATCTCTAAGCGCTGCGGAGCCTATTGGACCCAGCGGGAATATCAAGAAGGCAACAGGGGTCTGATCAGCCTCTAGCCTCTCCCCGTCGTCGAGCACAATCCTCGACGTATCCCTCTTCCCTGCGTGCACAAGTTCCACGGAGCCTAGCAAACTTCGTGTGAGTCTATTCAGAGCTCTTTTCTTCGAGTACTTTCTTCGGTTGGCGCGACGGGCTCGCGGTTTACAGCCTCCAACCGGATGGGCTAGAAGAATGTTCACGGGAAGGAACTCTAGTCCGCCTCTCTTCTTTTCTATCTGTAACTGCAACTCAAGCAAGTTTTCCTGCCTGCACCACGACCATCTTTGGTGTAAGTAAATAATCTTAAATCAACCATTACGCGTCCGTGACTAATTCTAGCGTGTCGCCTGTTTTCTCCGACCCAGCGTGCCCGGGCTGCTGGCCACAGCCCGCG